CAAAAAAAATCTTCAATTTAAAACTGGACAAGAAAATACTAAAAAAAAAACAGTAATTTTTCATAATTATTATCGGTAATACACATTCATGCATACTTGCTCATATATTTTAATACAAACAAAATCAATATTATTGTTTACATTATACTATTCAGATACAAATTAACAAAAGCTAATAAGCATATTTATACATACGTATGTACATATTATATAAACAAGAAACCGACATTTTCAACTCAAATAACAAACGCATCGTGGAAATGGGTAATTCACAATCATAATAAGTGTGCATATTGCGGCAATTAGCAGATAACCTGAGTGCGCACAACGGCGGCAACGACCATGAGATGTGCTTATAAATTTGTATGTATGTACATTCACATATACTATGCGCTATAATAAGATAAGATTTCTCAGCCTCATATGCATTGTTGATGCTGTTGAACAGAACCTGCCGTATAAATAAAATCACAAGCTCTAGCAACAACCGGCTGATTAAGTCTTATCAGCTGATTATTAGTGATCTTGCTAATAATAGTTTATATAGGCATCAGATGAGTACAAGTATAATAAATATATAAATATATTCATACTAATTTGCAAACACTATTTTGTAGTGTATTTTTTGTGCGTATTATGTTAAGCACATACATACGTACATTTTCAATACAATTTCTAATGTTTAAATATTTTTTTCTTAGCGCGCTTTTCGCTACAAATTAAATATATTCCACAACCGGTTGATAGATGTCTGGCCATTAATAACAGTGTTGTTTGTTGTTGCGGTCCGATTGCCGGTTGTGCACGTTTTGTAATTTGCTTTCAAATGTGTCTATATACATATGTACATATGTGTGTGCATTTGCAAAAACAAAAACTAAAGAAACAACGTTCGAAAACAATTTGCTTTGCACGGAATTTGGGAATTTAATATTTTATGAGTACTTTTTTAATTATATGGTTGCTTTGTATACATAAATAACTGCTTTCTTTGACCCTCTTGGAGAGATTGGCTTTAACACGTTTCCGCCGGCGACCGAATTTGTTGTTCTCGGCAGCTGCCGGTAACGCTTAAATAGTTTTAATTCAGTTTATTTACAAACTTTTTTCTTTTTATTAGCAAAAACTACACATTTAATTGATTTCTTTCTTTGCACCACTAGTGGAACATGCCGCCCGATGAGACAATGGCGTATGTACCACTAATGGTACAAGCCGAGGAACGTGTTAAGCATTACTCGATTTTATGAGCAATCTAAAATCGTCTAAGCTTTAACGAGTAGTATTGCTTGTACCGAAATGTTCGATTAGCAGAAGACGCCAATTCCGTAAGGTGATCGCTGTTGCTACCGCTTGCTTCGTACTAGCTGGAAGAATCGCGGTATGACTCCGCCCCAATTTCCCAGCCGAAGCAGCTGTTTTAGTCATGCCGATCCCTGTGATCCCGAATAAGGATCTCAATTTAGGGATTCGGCACATGGTAACCAACATAAGCGAACAAATGGGTAGAGCATCTGAGTTTTGCAACCTCTCCACCGGCGTAGGTAAGCTTGTAGTATGCTTTGGACTACTGTCAAGACCTTGTAGAATCCGAGAAGACATGACGACCGGGTTGAAATTCAATTCGATGGCCATGTCTCCTCGGACCAGAAGAAGTGCGCGAGCTATTTCTGCCGCCAATTCACACTGCACCTTTCGAAAGGCAATACCAAACGGTGTGTTACCCGAGGCCCGCCCAAACAAAAGTCCTCACCTGTCGCTGACCTTTATTCGAATACTCGATGTGTGGAAAGTCGGAATAGTGATCCCACTACTGAAAGCTGGGAAACCGCCAAAAAGAGGAGTCTTGTTAGGGTCATAAACATACATAGATAGTTCATGGCCTAAAGCAAAAGCCATCCTGTGAAAGAACGATCCTCGTAGCGTTGGACTTGTCAAAAGCTCGAACCCTACTCATCTAACATCTGCCGTTAGATGACTTCGACGACAACCAAACAGAACCTTACCACCTAAGCGCGAATTAGATAACCGTTACAACAATCGTAAGAAAATAAATCTACATATGTACATATATAAATACATATGTACATATATATGTGTATTTGTATGAAAGGCCGTTTTGTTTTTTTTCTGCGATATATATTGTATTTTTTTTAAATTCGTTGCACGTTTATCGATTCTTTTGTCATATCAGTTATACAAATGGTTTTAATTTTTTTTATTTATGAAATCATTCTTCTTTGTTTGTGCGTTTAGTAATTTATTTTGGCTAGTCGTTGAACGTTTTAGCATAATTAATACGTTTATATATAAAAATACATAAGTATGTGTTTTCAAATAACTTCACCAAAGCTACTGCTCTTCCTTCTTCTGCATATACTTACATACGTGCACATATGTTAGTCATGCGAGCAGCCACGTTGTTGTGTATTTTTTAATTTTATTTCTACCCATTATCTATTTAACAGCAAGCCGGTATTAACCAGTTAGCTTAGACGCAATCGCCAACACACTTTGCCATCAACTCTATCGCCGCTGCAATCAAGGCGATACGACGAGTTTGCGCACCCAATAAACAAAGAATAAAAAATTATGGCGAAAACGAGAAAAGATTGGAAATAAACACAAAAGAAATGAAAAATAAACGAAATTTTAGAAATGTACAGGAAAATTCCTAAACTCTACAAATAAAGGAAACATTATAAATAATTTCTTAAAAATTTAAAATCCAACCAAATGTCGCACATCCTCAATTATATACTCGTATATAAAATACATACATATGTATAACTATCACACTATGTATATTCCTCTTAATTATGAGACGAAAATGTTGCACAAAAGAAATTAAAAATTTGCTTCTGTCAAGTGCTTCTTTAGTAGCACAGCGCTGATTATGGTCTAATAAAGTATTGAATATGATGATATGAAGGCATTACATTGAAATCTCTAAGTTGTCGACATTATATATATTAAACTGAATGGATGTTTTTATTTATGGACCAACAAATTCAAAATTATGTTATTTTTTTAACATACAAGTAGTTTCGTTAACAAAATGAATCTAGATAACTTAATATTCTTGGTCGTTCCAAGCTGACAAACTAAACTGAATTTATGTTTCCATTATATTTATGCTGTTTTAACAGCAACGACGGTATTAGGTGACAGGATTTTAATATAACTACATAATATATAAATATAATAATTTGTGACCAAAATAGCTTTAATATATTATTTCAACAAAAAGTACACATTCTCTCTAATAAAATAAAATAAAAAAATCGTTGCAAATATTATATTATGTAAGTATGTTGTCTTTATTTTTTACATAAACAACAAAAAATCAATTATATTTTCAAACGTTTAGAGGTGACAGATAATATATTTCCAAATTAGTAAATACTTATTTACTACTTGTTCATACAAAGCAAATAAAAACAAAATTATTGATAACGTTTAACTCACATCTTCAACAGTTGATAAAACTACATGCTATTAAAAGATTGATAAACAACATTATAAGTCATAAAGTAATAATATTATAATAAATAAAAAACCAAATAAATCTTTTTATCATTACTTATGCAATCATTAAATCACAGAGCACTTTATAAGCAGTATTGATTTTATTTTTTAAGTACAACTGCCATTATCTGAAATTGCTCTTTTGTCGAGTTCATAAAATTATTTTTATTTCCTTAGTTAAGTTTCGATAATAGAGTATTTTAATTAAAAACGCAACACATTCACTCTATAAATACCTCAAAATTAATAAGCACCTGACGAATTGAAGTGGAAGTGCTTAAGCTTTTGATATGGTAATAAAAGGCTGAATATACAAAGAACGTACATACATACATACATACACGTACTTGTATACATACATACATAGATAGAGATCCCTATAAACCTCTAATTGCAAACAATAATAAACAAAGCCATAAATCGATAGTATTCACTTTTTAACAAAACAGCTGTTTGCAGATGCAATACAGACTTGCATGAAGTAACTAGAATTACCAGATTTATTATAGGTGATTTATGAAATAATTTGTTGAAATTAACAACGCATCAACAGAAATTAGCCATAAGTATAATAGTCAACAAAGAAAATATTATGATATCAAATTCAAAACAATAACAAGTTTGAAATTGTGTGCATAATTTTTCAAATGCGCGTATACACGTATAAATCTAGTAAACTAAAATATAAACCGCACCCTAGGAAAGCAAAAATCTTATAAAGACTATATAAAACAACAAAGCAAGTACAATAAAGAAAAAATAAAGAAATAGTTAATAAAATTAAAAATATTTATTGAAATGTTGCGAAAGTTGAAGCAATGAATTCAAAGGGGATGAGCTACAATGCCGTAGCAACAAACCACAGAAATTTGATAATGTTCATATAAAAAGTATATTTCTGTTGAAAAACTTCCAAAGTATTGCTTACTATATATTATTAATGTACATACATATATATGTACATAAATAATAATTTCTATTGTTTCGCGCAATACAGAGTATCTTCAGCATACCACGTTCAATTCCAATTTGGTAATTTTTTTACTTTTAATTGCAAAGCGCACAATAATACTAAGTACATTGCGACAACAAATACAACCGCATAGACAACACATTAACAGCGATTCAGTTGATAGATAACACACAACAAACAAAAAAAAAAAGAATTCCGCAAAGATGAAGTCATTTCAAGCATGAAAGGGAAATTTAAATTGAACAGTGAAATGTTGTTATTGAGTAAAAAAAATTCGCTAACAAACAAGGCAGATTGGCTTGGTATAATTTAAAAAAAGGACTAAATAAATAGCACAAATACATTTGAACATGTATAATGACTATATTTTCATATGCATGGATAATATTGTTCTTTTCAGATTTCATTTGTACAGTTTTTACAAATTAACCTGGAAAAGTGTTAAAACAAAACTTACATACTTATAATATGAAAGTAAAAAAGAATCAATTCTACTTACCGCACCATCAGCGGCCGGTGAATTCTCGTGTATTTCATATATTACATGCGGCGGTCCCGTGGTGCCCAACAGCGAAAATCCAAAACCGGAATGTTCATTACGCCGCAAAACCACTTTCAGTTCCTCGGCGGCCATTATTATGCCGCAACTGAAGCTACTATTGCCGCTGTTACAAATCCAACCGCTCAAGTTGCTTTTGTTGGCGAAGGTGCACAAATACAGACTGTTGACCACTGCACAAAGTGCGATCACAATGCGACAAAGTGCCTATTTAATTTGTATGGTTAAAACCACCCGTTTTAAATTACCACTTGATGTTATTCAATTATATTTCAAATTTCAATTTCGATTACATTCACACATGGATAGTGAAACAGTGGCTGAAGTTGTGTGATTTTCGGCACAAGAAATGTCTAATATTATTTTATTCAACTTGACAATTTCGTGTGCGCTGATATTCTCCGCTTCCTGCCTGCTTCGTCTGCTTTCCCGTTCCGGCTACTTCATTACTTTATTTCATAAATTTTTTGTAAAGTTCTTCACAAAATAAGTCACTTTTTATTGGGTGCCGCTAGCATTCACTGCATCTAACTTGGCTATTTCTTTCTTTTCTGCTTTATAATATTTCGTGCTGATGAATTCGTAGTGCTTGACTGGATTTTTGGGCTTGGTCACACTGCTGTCGACGTCACCGACGCTGTTGCCGCCAGCAACGTTGTTGATGTCGCCGACGTCGACGACGATGTTATTTAGGCAGCCGGCAGCAAAAAGCCAATAAACGTCTTGTTGCTTTTCTTGCTTTCCACTCTTTCTCCAAATATTACACCGCTTTTGCTGCGTACTCTTTCGCGGCGAACAAACACAAACACCGAATTGTATTGAAGCAATGGCGCATCGTAGTGGCTGTTGAAACTTGCCTCTTTCAATTGCTTGTTCCTTTACTTTAAAGGTTCCTTTTGTTTTACTTGAAAATATGTAATTTGATGCATTTAGAAATTTAAAGGTTACTACTATACCGTTTTTTTGGGATAATTTATTTTTCCTCTAATTTTATTTATATTATTTAATGTTGCCTTTACATGGGTATAACCTATAAGCTTTGCACTTTGACTTCCCGATACAACATACCATACATTTTTTCTCAATTTCTTTATTTTTACACATATAACTACACTCCACATACATTTAATTAACGTCAGCTTTTCATTTCACTATACTTCATCTATATGCGAATTAATAACTCTCAATTTAATTCATTTTGCAAAACAAATTTCAGAGGGTTTATTTCTTCACATAACTCCGATGCTGCTGTTCGTGTCGATTTACTTCGTCCGCTGTTTGGCTGAAAGAGTCGCCGCCTGTGCCTATGTCGACATCGGCGCAACGTCGAAGTCGCCGTCAATGCTGAAGTTTTTCGATCAAATATTCGCGTCGTATCCTGACAGTTCACGAAGACCACAATATTAAATTTTTTCATTTACATTTCACATATAGTCACGTAATTATTATGCACATATATCTAAAAGCAAATCTTCGTCAAACTTTACATGTATTATCTATCTTTTTATACACTTCATAGATTTTAAACCACTGAATTCAATTCAGTACGCGTACGCGGTGTGTAGTAAACACTTGTATCGTATTTAACTTCTTTGACAGTAATGGCGCTGCCTCATTCGCAGCCGCGGCCAATCGGCAAAACTGCTGTCGTTGCATTGATTGTCCAGTGTTGAGTAAAAACGGAGTGAAAAAGTACTATTCACAACAAATATATTTATAAAATTCATAATTGATTAAAAATTTTACGTATAATATATATTTTTAGTAAAAATATGTTTAATTAAAACGAATTGATAAGGATATGAATTGTCTACACTGAACATCAATGAAAAATTACAGAAGTTCATATAATTTTTTACTAAACCAAATGAATCAATATGTTTTTCGACAACTCTCTTCTATCGGTAATATTTGAGAAACAATGTAGAAACGTCAAAGTAAAAAGGGTAAAGTTGTTTTTAATATTAGCTATTTATTCTGTCGTTTCTGATTATTATCCGTATTTAGCATCAAAACATGAAAAAAAAACTGTTCCTCCCTTATAATTGGAAATTTATATTTATAAGCGATTAAAAATATGTATATAATCAGAGAACGTTAATAAATATTCATTTACGTTCTCTGGTAGTGTGAAATACGATTCTAATTAGAAGAGGCAATTGCGAAAACGTGAACAAAACATATACAATAAATTCGGTCAAGTGTCAAACGTCAAAATCAGCAAAACTAATCGGGTGATTGACTTTTGGTGTTGCATTTGATTTTATAGTGTACTGTCACGAGAGAACGTATGAATTTACGTTCTTTGCTGTCACTACGTTATCGTCGTGTCGAAAGACGAATCTCTGGAAGTGATTAGAACTAGTTTAAACTTAAAAAGTTATTTAGTAATTCATTAATTAAAATGCAGGGAGTTTCGAGTTTAGTGAAAACAACAATTCCAGACTACTTGTCCAACTTGCCAATTCCCGATTCTTTCACCGGTTGGTTCAAATTGTCATGTAAGTAATGCAAGTTTGCATACAGTTGTATATTGCACAAATATAGACGGGTGAAGAAGAAAATATGGTCCATACTTATATATTTCTTGTACCATAAATCGAAATAAGGTCAGATATTTTTTGAAACTGATATCATTTGTTACACTTTTTCATATATGTATGTGGATTTCTGTTGGCCATCACTTTACTGCCTTGCTGTCAACTACTCTCCTGTCTTTGCACTTAAGGTACATTAAATGCTACAGATTTGTATTTACATTTTCTGATTATGCAATAGTCTTTAGAATCAAATACAGTGGTGCAGGCAAATAAAAAATGATTGAAATGAAATATAAATTACAAAACATTATTTGAATGACACATGTTGATGCGAATCTCCATTTTTAAAAAAACCAAATAATCCATGTAGTTTTAAGTAAATGACTTTTTGTACTTTGTGCCAACGCAGCCGCTACCTTTGAATTGAATGTTTTTCAGTCATTTGAAGTGATTTTGCATTCAAAATAATATACATAAGTATGTTAATTGGCGCATGCAGGGGTCAAATTAATACTAGTTTTTATCACATAAACACATAAGAAATAGGATTAGACCATAATATATACTGAAATAGTTTTAACTTTTATTTTTTTGTTTGCAAATAGTTAAGGATTGGTTGGCGCTCATTCCACCCACTGCCGTTGTTGCTGGTCTTGGCTATGTTTCATATTTAGCATTTTGTCCAGCCGCGCGAAAGGGCTGCAGCGGTTCGGGTCGCTGTAATCAATCTATACGGAAATCAGAAGCAAAGGTGGTGGATATGATTGACATTGAAAATATTGCCGAAAAGGCAGCTTTTTGTCGGTGCTGGAAAACTAAGAACGTACGTTAATTAGTAAATATTAATTCGTTATGATTGATGGCTAACAACTTGAAAAATTTATTGTGTAGTGGCCCTATTGTGATGGCAGTCATGGTGAACATAATAAACAAACTGGAGATAACGTTGGACCCGTTGTTTTACAAAGGAAGAAGTAAGCTATAGTTCCGTTCGTTGTTAACGACGCTAGCTGCAGTCAACTGTTGTTGGTTTCATTGTGCCAACCGCTACGATGACAAAATATACGGAGATATATGGAGAACATTATAATAATAGTTGATTGAATTTAATATTAGCAGTTGGTTTATTTTTTTAATTTCTCTTACTAAACGCATTTTTTTCAACAGAAAATTCTAATGATCCGTTATATGTCAAAAGACTTCCCAAAAAAGAAAAAATAGTTAAAAACTTGCTTTGGAAGCATATTAAGCGAGCTAAAGTTGTCCTATAATATTGAAAATATGTGCTACTTATACAATAAATTATAATCAAATTACAAAAACGATTTTTTAATCAACAAAACATGTTATCCAATATCCAGTCATCAGTAATATTTTATAGATCCCTGATAAATGAAGCTAGTTTGATTTTTTTTCCAATTTTTATTAAAAAGAACAGTTTTTGTTTAATATAAATAATATTTCCTCAGCTTTCTGTTTGGAGTTTGCGGCACTTATAAAAAGAAAGAAACCTACGAATGTTTATTACAAAAAGGCATTGATTTTCGTGAGCTTATAGATTTATTTTCAGGATGGCTGATAGGGTTTAGTCGGTTAACTATAAATTACGACCCATTTGGTGACACGATAACTACTTATTGAAGCTCAAATCTTCGTTACGAATGATGTATTTCTCCATTTATTTAAAGATTTTACCCTGGTTGAATTTGCGACCATCCTTATCTGTACCAGTCCATGAGAAGTACTGTTGTACCAACTTTTTGGTTTCTTCGGAACTGGCATCAAGTTTCTTCCACGAGTAGCAGTCGTAGTCAATTTGCCAGTCAGGTGAAAGAGGGAAAGCCAAATCTTGGCCGCGCCACACCCAAATTCCGGAGATGGTGCTGTTGTTATCCTCACCGAAGAGACACACTGAGGCAAAAGCTTGCTTACGCATCTTATCCAAACGTTGGAACATACCAGTGATTAGATTGCATGACATGAATACCTTGCTCAGCTCGTCGTTGTATTTATATTCTCCGAACCAGATAGAATAGTTTTCTGGGTCGAATTTTTGCCAGAAATAAGGAATGGATACAGACTCATCCTCGTTGGAGTAAGAACGTTTGAAGTCATCGAAATTAAAGGTTCCTTTGGGCATTGCATCGAAGGGATCCTTAGATTTGGGTTCAGCCAAAAGTGCTTCCTCAGCAGCATCTAATTCTTCCTTGGGTTTCTCTTCCTTCTTCTTTTCTTCTTTCGGCTTCTTCTCTTCCTTCGCCTTTGCTTGCTGTTTCTTATCACTAGCACCGCCAGTTTTACCAATGAATTCAGCATATTTCTTGGGATCGAATACGAGTGCTGTCTCACACAAACTGTAGTTCTTTACGACAGCCTTTACTTGTGGCTGGTTGAGGATAGTTATGAACCAACGGTTTACATTACCGAATTCAGCGCGCACTTTTGGTTCCAACACATACTGATACAAATGCAACAGACTGCTGAAGACGACAATGTCAGCTAGTGTGACACGTTCACCGACTAAAAACGTGCTATTTAACAGCTTTTTGTTCAACACAATCAGAATGGCGGTGGCGTCCTGTTTGGCGGTACTGTTCTTCTGTTGTGGCATAATGCCCAACAAGGGAAAGACCCATGAACAGGATGCTGGAACAATCTCATTGTCAGCATAAGACAACCACTGCAAGACTTCAGCCTGAGCCAATGGACATTTACCACCGCGCAACTGTTCATTAGCTACATAGAAAGCAATGGCATTCGACTCGGACAAGTACTTGCCTTCAGCGGTTTCGAAAGCAGGCACCTAGAAACATTTTATAAAAATAAAACAAAAGATATGTGCATATGAGTAACATTCCGATGTTGTTGATGACGTGGGCACACGCAACCACAAAAACAGTTGATGTCCACACATTTGATTTATAAAGCATATTATTTGCAATACTGAGGCTTACCTTACCACTGGGGAACTTCTTCAGAAATTCGGCAGATTTGTTGGTCTCACCGAAAACGAAGTTTTCGGCTACTTTCACCTGAGCTCCAGAGTACTGGGCAGCGATGAGTGCCTTGTACGCACGGAAATTTTCTGGGTAGGTATAAAGCGTCTGTAACCAAACAAATTTTGAACGAAAATTATTTATAATGAAATTATCAAGTTTTCCAGCAACTTTTTTGCTTCTAAAACAGATCGATGTTCTAGATATTTGCAAATAATATTTGCGAAAATTTACTTACGCCTGTCGCCATGATTTCCACTTGCCGGAGAGAAGGAAGAGTGACAGTAGCCGGCGCGCCGTTGACAACTGTCAAAGTAATTGGATAGAATTTAAAAGCTGCCACTGAAATGTTTTTTAAAGTTTTTGGTTAATTAAACTTCATAGAATTTAATTATAGTTTTGAGAGCAAATATGTATTTCATTATTATTGATTATAAAAATGTACTAAAATAGTTAATGAGCTAAAAATACTTTGAAACCAATTGGAGTTTAAGTAATGCATAGCACCATGTGTGTTGTTAAGTTACTTTTACTACCCAAATTGTCTTTATAATTAATACAAATAGATCCGAAGAGATCAACAGCTTTTCACATGAAATAAATTGACGTGTAGCTGCAAAGAGCATTATTTGTTATTAATGAAAATGCACCAAAATCTCATTCAATTTCTAATTGGAAGAATATGAATCACCTTACATTTCGCTTTAATCTCATATCTGGTAACACTGTACCTTTCAAAGCTTTTCCAGCTCAGAATTTTCACTCCAAGCTGAATTGTCACATTCCAGGGCAGCTAACTTAACGCCGATCTCGGAAAATTTTCTAAATTTGCTCGGCCGGCCGTACAAATTTTTTCATATTTACAGCTTTCAACCATAAAGTCTCAGTATTTTATTATAGATTTATGTTAAAGAATCGTTTAGGTAAAGGTAAAAAGTAAAAATTGTAAGAAACAGCCTTGATATTCGCTGAAAATGGCTGGAATTTTGATTGCTATTATGCTGTAAAGATTATTTGCGACGTCTGGAGTAGTGTCCATTGCATATACTTGTGTGCGGCGTGAAGAAACGGAAAAGGTGTTCGATAAAACGACATACGGGGAAATCAAGAAAAAAGCAGAGAAAGCGAGTAGGCGAATATTGTTACGAGTATTGAAAACTCTAGATTGGATAAACGGAAAATCGTTATTGCAGTTAGCTTTTGATAACTTGCATAAAACTTTGCTGAAAACGAAGTGGAAATCAAAGAATTGTCAATATCTAGTATTTTCAATTATTAATAAATTTTACACATGCACCGATATGCAAACTGCGGGTGGAAGTAATAAAATTATCACATGATTGTTGATGGTCCAAAATTAAATTGAACATATAGAATAGTGCAAATTATACGTCTATGTGAAAAACATTAATCGTAGTAAATGTGTGTGCGTGGACAAATAATCGAACCCGAAGCAGTAGCGAAAAAATCGATTTGGTACAAATAAAAAAAAAATACATATTTGGCTATGCAGGCAGTAATTGTACACAAATTATAAGAACGATTAAAAAATTATAGTCCCACTCCTACCAGAGGAGCAGCATCATCATAAAAAGATGCAGCAATAACGTGAAAGTTTGGTTAATTCGTGTAACATACGTACAGTCGGTAGACCTGCTCCAAATCTACGGTCAAGTGTCGACCCCATGCGCTAATAAGAAAAGCAGAACTGCCAGCTGAAACTGGACATCTGACGACTACAGCAACAGTAGCAAATGCATTCCCAACAGGCTATGTAAGTAATATAACATACATATATGTATGTATGTATATAAAGAAACAGTGCCTACCAAAAAAGATTTAGAGCGAATTGTATGTAAGTGAAATGACGATATATCTATGCTAGCGATTGCAATTGGACGTACGGTAGATAACAGACTAACATGCTTTTCATACTATAGGAAATTCGCAAAAACCTAACAATATCAAAACAACAACAGTGAAACTAATTTATAAAGCAGCAGAACGTGAGCATATGCTTGTAGCAGCGGTACTGCTGGCAGCGATGTACATATATAGCAACAGCGAATGTCGCTAATGCATTACCTAACTGTTTCAAAAGCTTACGTTTAATTTACACATTGTGAATTTTTCCTCAGCCGACAGCATGTTCACGATCTTGCTAATTTTTAATATTTGCTACATTTTGAAATGTCAATTGCTTGTTATACTTGTTTTGCTGTTGTATTAATATATGTATGTACTCGGTTTTTTCTGACATATGATGTGACCTTCGATCCAGCAACAAATCAATAGTAAAATTGTTTTTGTGTTCCTACAAAATATGTCTATAAACCGCTATTGTGTTCTTGTGCATACCCGGTTAAAGAGTGTGCGGGTGTGCTGTCACTGCTTCTGCTGCTGCTGCACTTGCTACCTCCACGACACTTGTGCCCATTAAATGCACCCTCACCTTTTACACATGAGCCATGCACCCCATTTGTGGGTTCATATCAAGCGTGCGCAAGCAATATTAAAATATACGAAACGTTCATAGTAGTGAAATTGAGGCAAATGTATAAACATATTTAACTCGTAGTATTTGTGAGTAGTTTAATGTTGATGAGTATTCAGTGCCTTGCCTTTGGCCTTGCTTCGCCGGCGGTCACTCGACGTTCGGTGGCGGTCATCGTGCAAAGCAGCCATACTTTATATAAAAATATACACACATATGCTTGTAAGTAAGCTTACATGTTGTGTTTGTAAACATATATTTCGATAACTATTAAAACGCCGAAGAAAACGTCGGAGACGCTATAAAATATGTATATACATACATATGTATATAAATGATCAGCATGATGAGTTGAGGCGATTTAGCAATGACCATCTGTCTGTGATCTAGTCCCTCAGTTTTTGAGATACTGCTTAAAGAAATTTTGCACATTGGTCGAAACCGCCGATACAACAGAATAGAATACAACATATAGCTTCCATATAAACTGATCGAACAAAAACAGGTCTTTTTATGGAAAGCTTTTGAAGAAATATCTACGAAATTTGGCATGAATTATTATATTTTTGTTTTTGTTGTTACTTTGACCCGACTGTCATGGGAACGGAATTATTATCGAAGGCAATGGTGCAATCGTCGAAGAAATTGTTCAGATCGGACTACTATAGCAAATAGCGGCCATCTAAACTGACCGTCCAAAACGAAAAAGAACCTTTTTATACCCTTTTATGCTCTAAGAAATGTATGTGTGAAGGGTATTATAGCTGCGGTGTAGCCGTTTTTTCTTTTTTCTAATTGATGTAGGTAAATGTCATTGTATTAGAGAATTTATTTTTACATTTTTTTATGAGTATTATTGATTAGGACGTCGCTCACTAATTTAATATTAAAAGCCAACAATATCAAATTAGCGATACATATGTAATTGTGTTTCGTAAGATTAAAAATTCACTTGTTTAGCTTTGTTTTAAAAAATGTGGATTACTTAAAACTCAAGTACGGCAAGCATCCTTCCCAGCAATGTGCTTCTGTTTAACGAGATCAAACAAAAGTGTCAAGGAGATAAAGTGCTAAATATTTAATTTCTTTATCAATGACATTTTTCTAAAAAAATATATATCAGCGAGTTTATATGACAAAATCGTCCGCGTTATTAGTTTATGCCAAGAGCAGAACTAAAAGCTGAATAAAGCAGATTATGTTTTTCATACATACATTTTTTATTATTGTGTATGTAGGTATGTATTGTATATATGTAGATAATTTGGCATTTCGTATTTATTGTTATTGTTTATAATCGTCAATTAATGATTCATTGCCTTGCTCTCTATGTACCTGTCACACACCGCATCTGTCACTCCAGCCAACAATGTTATTTATAGCGCATAAAATAATCGACAAGGTTGAATCATACAATTAATAAAAATGGCAATCATGCAAAATAGTGAAAAAAGACAAAAAAATGCAATACACAGAATAATAAGATTGATAAAAGTCTTTGCATCGATTCCTTTATCACGAGCTACCAGTGCAACTGTTGATATACTACATACAAATAAAACTGAATGTGTGTGATAACACCTTCAAAAACTGATTATACACACATATATTCTAAGCATTAAAGCATTTGCATTTTTATATACATGTATAACATTATATTGTATGTACTACATAGAGTATACGTATGCATGTGCCAACCGTTTATATTTGCAGCATTGCAGCAGTGGAAAAATTGTTTATTTCAATACTATAGGCAAGTAATTCATCCATACAGTTAGGCACTGTTTTCACTTTCAAATAAGATAAGCTAACACTTAAATTTAAATTGTCATGTTTTTATTTTTTTTATTTACATAATGCTTAATAAAACAATTTGCACTTTTGTTGATACATAAAAAACAAGGAAAGATTGAACGTCACGTGGTGCAAAATTACTACAAAAATTTATAAAAGTACAAAATTTACTTAGTTTTTTATATACATATATAATTCATGTATGTATATATTTTAGAGCCTTTCAGATCGCGGAAACGATATTAAAATTGTAAACATTTACATTTTTTAAAGAGAGATATCCTCACAAATATCGATCAAAAATTAAAAACATACATAAATCAGATCATCAGAAATATGATAACTTAATAAATAGTTCGTCAGGGTGCGAATGGTGCACCAAATATTCGCTCAGATGTGCACAAAATAGAAAGAAGAAAACATCTCGCACTCTTTTGTCGTAGAATTATTATTTTTCAAATACTGTAGGATGCAACACTTCTGGTATTCCATTAAGTAAATAGACCACACAGTGGTGTTGTTATTTTACTATCACATATACTTTTTGTATGAGCCCTCCACTGCTAGAATGACGCTAACACGCTTCCATTAAATAATCAATGATTACTTAATACTTTTTGTAGGCACTTTGCGTACATATCTACATGTACATACATATGCACGCATGTGAGGGGCGCATATCACAAAAAGGTGTTAAGTGTTTATTTATTCAACGACATTTTCTTGGACAAAAATAAAATAATTCAAATAAAATGTGAACGAAATTCAACTGATAAGCGCTGCTAGTGTCAAAAACTCGCTCACATGTTCTCCCACTTAGGAATAACAGTAGTAAAGTTGACGTTGAATGGTAACATTTAAATAAACCCAGTAAAGTTTAGTTAGGCAGGCGATAGTGACAAGCGCATTTATCGGCTTTATACTTTTCGTGCCGTTGTTACCAACATAACGGCCAACAACAGAAAATCAACTGTTTTTTTTTGTTTGATTTTGGAATTTTGTGGGCAATGAATGGCTCCGAAAATAGGTTACAAAATGTGGTTAGTTGAATATTTTTATAGAATCTTATTTTATTGTTGGAATTTTGTAAAAATAAAATATTTAAATTAAAGAAAATATATGGCGTTTATGTTGGGTAAAATGCAAATGGGCAGTTAACACTTTTTTAATTAAAATATTTAAAATCATTTATGGAAACAAAGTAGCATAAACAGATGTATAATAAAATGGAAAATAAATTTATATAAAATTAAACAAATTGGTTAAAAATAAAATTAAATACTCGTATACATTTACAGCATATGTGCGATGCAAAAAAAAAAAAATTAATTGATATATATATGGTGAATTAATATACGAAGATACATTGTAATAAGAAGAAATATTGAATTTATAATAATAATTTTTTTATTTTATTAAAGAAATGAATTGTTCTCCTTTGCTTACAGGTGTTCAAAAAATGCCCAGAAATGCTGCAAAAAAATTAAATAACGACGAGGTGTGTCTTCCAATACAAACAGTTAAAATCGTAACAGAAACAATAAATCTTTTAAGCCCAGAGACCGATATACAACAAACTAATACACCAATAGGAAACACTATAACACAACTACAACAACCACAACAAACGCAAGAACATTCAACCGAACAAACACAATCACAACAAAAGCAACAACAAGGGGAAGTGAAAAACAGACGACAACGTAAAAAACGACGAGGCAGACAGAGATCCAAGAAACGCATTACTAATAAGAGCAGCGCTGGTTCAGAAAGTGCCAAACCTACAGTCGAAATAAGTGACGAAACTGCAAACAAAACACCTACCAATACCCGAAAGTACGCGTCTAGAAAACGCTATTCCCCACCATATTTTCCCACACTTTATCCCATTGTCATTGAAACTTGCCCGGAAGCGGAATTACAGAGTGTTAGCGCAAGCAGTAAATCGGGTATCACAGCAGCAGGTGGCACAAGCGCCGTTGTAGCGGTCAAAGCGCTCGGTGAACCTCAGATACCACGCCCACCAGTTGGCGCCGGTGGTAGACGTCAACTGCGTAGACGCCGAAGCGTCACAAATTTCACCAAACGCAAGAATAGAGCTAAAGCTAAAGCGGCTGCAGCAGCAGCAGCGATCGCGACATCCTCCACGGTCAAAGTTTACGTTAAGAGCAAGGAAACTGTCGAGCGCCTAGCGACCTTACGTAATCGCAAGAAATTAGAGGAGCGCGTCAAGGAGAAAAAAAAGCCATACGCTTTCGAAGGAAATAGTAGCGACCTGCTGGTGAAAAGACACACAGGTGAGAACATGCAAAAAAAAAAAAATAATAATACCTAAAATGAATCTATGTGTCAGCATAGCAATATATACAAATATTGTGCAAATAATAAATATTGTAAAAAATCTACCTTCTCTTGCAGCTTGGTTCCATTTAGATGAAGCGTTGCTGAACAAAATCGAACCGCTAGAAGTCGAGGTAAAAAAAGGTGGTAGCAAGCGCAAACGCGATAGCAGTGTTGCAGCAGCACGCAAGCGCAACAGCAACACACACAAACTCACACCGCCACCGGCGTTACGCTTATCGCCGGCAAGTTTCGATTTTGCAGCGCTCCATTGCATTGGCGTCCCGCCAGCGGCTGAGATTATCGCCACACCCAACATTGTTATAGCACCGGCAGCTGATAGTCCAGCTAGCGCCAATCCACCGCCCGCAACATCACCTGCTACAGTATCTGCAGAGTTAACTGGCAGAACAACGCCAACGGACGTAACTGGTGCCATAGCAACAGTTGCAACAACACCAGCTACAACAACAAGAACAACTTGCGTAACACCGGTTAGCAGCGGCAGCGTAAAGAAACGCCCACGCGGCATAATGTCGCTTTACGAACGCCGCTATCAGACTGCAGACACGGAAGCGCGCACCGGCGCGGGCGTGGTCACTAACGGTTATCTCAGTTCGACGCGCACCTCTTCCGCGTCATCGAGCGCCGTACATTCGGATGCCGATAATACACAGGACATCACACAACAATACTATATGCCAGTGGCATCAGCTTCCAATAGTGGGCTTGCCGGCAGCACCAACAGTAGCGGCAGCACTGTAGTTGTCACAAACCAATTAGGCAATGGCAACACACTGAATCATGCGCCTTCCATGGCGACGCTGTGCAACATTGGCAATACTTGCTACCTTAATTCGGTGGTGTATACATTACGTTTCGCACCGCAATTTCTACACAACCTTCATCATCTCATAGTGGACTTGTCAAGCATACAGCAGTGCATTGCGCGTCAGCGTGCAGCCAAGTCATCGTCATTGGGACGCGGCATTAGCGCGGTGCAATTGGAAAATACACGCAGTTTCAGCAGCAAAGACTTAGCAGCGCTCGAACAGAATGCGCTCATGAGTACGAGCGGCTGTGGCGGCGGCATCGGGCAAAAGAGCAGTCACCAAATGCTGACCGAGCGTTTGCATGAGCTCTATCAGTGCTTGCACCGCAATGAGGTGGCTGAATCGACGGAGCCCTTTCACGCCGATACACTGTTACACGCTGTACAGGATGTTAATGCGATTTTCGAGGGCAACCAGCAACAGGACGCGCATGAGTTTCTGATGTGTCTGCTCAATAGCATACGGGAGACTTGTCAGCTGTTGATCAAAGCGATCGGTGAATATCCTGATCTAATAATGAATGGGTGAGTATGGGGCGTAATTTTCGCTAAGCAAACATTAGAAAATAATAAAGTAAACTCAAAATTTACAGCTACATACGCAATCCCGACGAGTTGGACGGCTATGCTAGCGAACGGGACACACAAAGTGGCATCACCATCAACGCCAATAGCAGTAATGCGCTTGCTGGTGGTGTGTCCACTGCTACCAGCGCTACCAACTCAACGCTATCTAGTCTCAGCGCAAGCAACATAACGAAAGCGTCGTTCTTCTCGCGCAAATCTAAGCGAAAAGACGAATCGAAAAACTCCAAGAACACACGTCTGCAATCACCACTGAAGGATGGGCAAGGCTTTGCGGGCTTGCAGGCAACTGCAAATAGTCTCTTCTACTTGAATTCAGTTGATCTTAGCGGCGCCGCGTCAACTAACACTACCGCGTTGGCTGCAGCGAATGTCACATCGGCGAACAGCGCCAGCGTTGTCAATAACATGGGCACTGAATCCAGCAGTGAACTGTCATCGCCGGTGAGCGCGTTGAAAGATAAAGACCGTTTGGCTGAGAAGATACGCGAATTGGGTTTAGACTTCTTTAGCGAGGACTTCGAGGGTGTTACCGTGTCTACAACGAAGTGCTTGAGCTGTGAAACGGTGACGGAGCAGAAGGAGAGTATGATTGACATCGCCGTACCGGTGCCTATTTCCGGCTATGATTTAACCGACTACGCGGACAAACCCAGCGCGTTTATACAGGTGTCTTGAACTGTTCCATTCTTGTTTTGCTTTTATTTAGAAATAATTTTAATATTTCAACTCTATACAGAATTCCTGCGTGACCCGTGAGTTTTTCCGTGGCGACAATAAATATCGTTGCGAACAGTGCACCGGCTACACCGAAGCAATACGCTCCATTTCATATGAAGTGCTGCCGCGTCTACTGGTCATACAATTGAGCCGTTTCTCCGGCGGCATGGAGAAGATAAACAGTTACATACCCACATCCTTTACATTACAATGCTTTTGCGCGAAATGTTGCAAACTAAGCGACGCCAACAAGCTGCACATCTACAAATTGTACAGTGTGATAACGCATGTGGGCGCCACCATGTCTGTAGGGCATTACATCGCCTACACTTGCTCACTCGACTGGGCCAATGAGTATGTGAATTGCCCGAAGGATCGACGCAACATCAATACTAATAACAACACACAGCAAATGGGTGCGCAGGCGAACGGTTTATCGAACAATAGTCTCTATCCATTGGCTGGTGCGGGCGGTTCGGCGGCATCAGGTGGCGGCTCGACGCCCAACGAACGCAGCAGTCCCGGCATACAAGCCGCCTCAGCGGCCAGCGCCGCCGCTTCTGTGCTCGCCTCGTCGGGGTCCAGCTTGATGAAGAAGATGAAGTTCGGTCGCAGCAAAGCTTCGAGCAGCGGTGATATGAGTAAGAATATGAAAAATTTGAATGGCATCACCAGTAAAACGATTACGAATGGCATTGGCAAGCTGAGTATGAATACGACATGTCATAGTTTGACGTGTTGCGCGACGCGCATTTGTAGCGTGCAACAGCAGCAGCAATTACAACAACAGCAGCAACAGTTGAGCGCCAGCAACAATGAGTTAAGTGAAGAAACACTGCAGAATGGCTCGAATCACGCGTCTTCCACGATGAGCATCAGTGGCAGCAGCAACATCGGCCTTGGTGGCAATGGCAGCGGCAGCGCCACTGGTAGCGCCGGCAGCAGCACAACTAGCGGCTACAATAGCTATCCAGTCGGTTATGGCAGCACTGGACGCGGCGGCACTAAGGCCAGCACGCTTGGCGGTTATGCGTCCAGTTGTGGCAGTCTGTCGGCGGCGGGTAGCAGCAATGGCGAGCCCATCTGGTACATGTGTGACGATGATAAAATCAAAGCGATGACACAACGTGAATTCGAGGAATTACTTTCGCCAGCGCGCAAAATCACAGTGACGCCGTACCTGCTCTTCTATGCGCGCTTCGATTTGCAGACATCGACACCGTCTAGCGCCAAATCCAACTCGAATGCAACGCAACCATCCGCCTGGTCCAGTGAGAATTTGACGCAGCATCCAGGCACCACAGCCGCAGCATTGCATAAAATGTGAGTAACGCTAAGTGAGTCGGCCCAACAGCAAATGCAGCTACAACAGCTGGACCAGCTAATGGATGCGGTTGCATTGGCGGCGCATATGCGCAAATCGAGACAACATAGTTGTGCCCGTCGGCGCTGCAACTGTGAACAGGTAATTTAATTGGCGGCTGCGATGGCGCGGGAGAATGACAAACGCGCAGCGGTGAAACGTTATGAAGTGAAGCGTAGGAGGCGTCGTGTACAACCAAGCAGCGACCGCGCGGCGGACATTTGTGGTTGTGTTGGTTGTGAACGAAAAGGTTGCGCAACGGCCGCGTCATCGTCGGCGTGTACACCACAGCGTATATTCTGCACGCCTGCAACTTTTCCCATTGTGATTGTGCTAATTTTAATTGTAATTATTGTAACAATTATGCTTATTTCTATACCGTATTATTATTATCGGCGTTATTTTAGTGAAAACACATACTAACACAGACACACGCGCGCATACATTGCAGCTAGCATTCAGTTTGTTATGATGAATGCGCAAATTATGCTAATTAAATAATATTTTCGCATTTCACAATTTCACTCAGCAATTAAATATTATTATTGTACGTGGTATACTAATGATAAGTGATATATTTTTTGTTATAACCATAGTTTTTAATTACATACTCTTCTGCGCTATTTAAATAGCAAAGCGATTGAATTTAATTTCACATTTGCAGCCAGACAAGCAGGCATATCTGTTTGCAGCGTTTACTTTTACGTTTAAGTAGCTCTAACCTGAGCGCGTATGCAGCGTACAGCCGTCACTTTGCATAGTTTTTTTTTCATATTTTACATTTCCATTTTCACTCAAAAACTCATTGGTATATAACATATATGCTCGTTCAACACACTAATTCGCTTTGCTTACTTTGTACAATCGGCTACTCAGGCCTATTTATCAAGGCTGCGAACAGCTGAACTAGTAAATGTTATTAAAATTGCACACAATTAGGCGTTGAACAGCTTGACAAATTACAATGATACATTTGTATTTTTGTTATTGTTGCGGCAGCATGAAACATTCTCCAGCTAGTTTTAGGGAGTGATGCTGAGGCGATAGCCCCAGGCGTGTAAAAATCCGATGCTATTCCGTTTATGTAGCGCTCACTGGCATCGTTACGAAGTTGCTAGTGAAGTATTTTTTATATTATTAGTTGATAAGATTTTCAATGCCGATATTTACCAATAATTTTTGTTTTCTTGCAATTAGTCCAATAGGATATTTAGTTTGTTTTTAATCGCGCACTCTTATGTTGTTAAACCAATATTTCAGAATACATACGATGTTTGAAACCGACTTTTTTTGCAGTTCTAGTCTTACAGCTCTTACTCAGTGCGTTGTAGAATAGAAAAATTTTCTACTTTTCATGTTTTACAAAAAAAAAAATCGACTGCTTTTTAAAGCATTTCGCAAGGTCGTTCACTGTAACTGGTGGCAGAGTGTTGAAATTACACAAAATCGCTTAACTAAATTATTTAAAGTATTTCCATATGAAAATAAAACTTTTTTATTAAAGAAAAAGCATTTTTTTGTTAAAATAAATGAAACAAGAAAACAAAAACAAATTGACTGATTCCTCCCATTTATACATATTCTTATACGAACCTAATGGCAATGCAAGAAATTAAAATAAAAATAAAATAAACTTACCAACGTTAACCCAATTGGCGCACTAAAAATTAAGATTCTATGTTTACAAAAAAAAAAAAATGCAAAAAATCCTACTTAAAAAGCCTTAGGCTTGTTTGTATTCTACAACTAATCGATAAGTTATGTTATATAGAGCTGTTAAGAAATAAGTGAGACAAAAATAACAACAAAAAATATCTAAAAAAAATGTTAATTACTAAGCAAATTACTAGAATAAAGAAACAGCATTATTAACTAACGGGAAGTTTGAACGTTTGTAAAAGTCTATTGTTAAACTTAAAAGGAAAAAAGTTAAAGAAGGATTTTCTATATACATACATATTACCAGTTTTACTTGTTTTCGCTTTCTTATTTTACAAAGAAGTTATAATCATTATTTAATAAAAGCTGATAAATACTAACTGTGAAGTCACAATAAATTGCTTTTAGTCACAAATTTAGTAAATAAACATTTAAAACAATTTTGTCTTGTTAACATGATCATTTTCTTTATTATTGTATAATATATTATTTTTATTTTATTTTTGTTATTATCATTATTATTTATTATTTTATTTTTGTTTAGTTATTATTTTTATTAACATTTTTTTTATTTTTGGTATTATTTTATTTTTTATTATTATAAATGATTTTTTTTTTTAATATATTTCGCTCGTTGTTATTAATTTCATTCTTGTGGCATGCCTCAAACTTGTTAGGTCTAGTTAGAAGACTACAAAAACAACAGTATTGGATTAATTCGATAAAATTATTTTTTATTAAAAGAGCTATAGAGATTTGTAAAGTTTTTATCGTAGGCTACCTTTAGAGGTAGCTTAAATAATTCTTATGGAATGATGAATATTGGATATGATGAATATATTTAAATTTTTTGTGAAATAGTGGTTGTATTTTTTTCTTAATCTTAACTTATCTACGATTTTTTAATATAATGAAATTTTTCTGCTTTAATTTTTTTGTTGTAATATTTGAGCTATATTTTTTGTTTTATGAATTTAAATTTTTACTTTATTTTTAAATGAGACATATTATTTCAGTTGAACCCGATGCTTTATTTTGTAAATTTTAATGTAATTGTTTTTATGTTATTTTTTATTTGTATATTTTTATATTCATATATTCTTATTGGTATTTTTTTATATTTATATATTCTTATTTTTATTTTATTTAAGTTTTTTCTTTGTATTTTTTAAATATGTTGTTTTTTTTAGCTTTATTTTTTTATTATATATTTTTGGTTTTTTTAAATTTGTTTTTTGCATCTTTATTATTTTTGGTATTTGTTTTTATATTTTTGGTATTTTTTTTATATTTTTTATATTCTTGGTATTTTTTTTATATTTTATCTGTTTTATACTTATTTTATAATTTTTGTATTTATTTGTATTTTTCGTATTTCTAATATTTTATTATATTGTTTGTATTTTATATTTTTTATCTTTTGTATTATTTTTATTAATTTTTTATATATTTTTTATATATATTATACATTTTTTTTTTTTACTTTTTTCTGTTTTCTTTTATTTTTTGGTAATTAGTGATAAAAGTTTGGATTTGGTTACAAATGTTGCATTTATGTTTTCCAATTTCACTATGCATTCGTTGCTTTTTCCGATCGACTCTTTTGAAAACAATATTATGAACATAAATTTGGTAGTATGATTACTAAAAAAGAATTATAAATAAATATGAAAAAAATTTGATTTGTTTAAAATATGAATTTTATTAAAAAAATATGCGCCGCTGAAAAATAAATGCCATTATTTCAGTTTTACTTTATTGATAAAAATATATATTTATTCTAGAGCATTAAATCATATTTAGTAATTTGAAATTCCGAATATATAATTTTACTAAAAATGCATACATACATATATAAATATGTTTGTAGACGGCAGAATATAATTTGAAGTGTTTAAACACAAGTGAAGTGCGAATATTTCCAGAAAAATATGTTTAATTCACAAAAAAAAAATTATAAGAAAATAATTAAATACAAATAATTTTATAAATAAAAATTTCAGTATAAATTTATACACAAACATTTGAATTTGAAAAAGTTTCACTTCTAGAATATAGCATTTTTATTACAATCATTCTTTTATGGAATTTATGGGAATTTGTTTTGAAGATTATGTGTTACCAATATTTATGGCCCAAAAAATCAAATTTATATTGTGTATATGTATACATCTAATTCATATAAACGTAATTAGATATGCAATATGAAATAATTATGTAAAATAATTTAAATGAAGAAAAACAAACGTTTATTCGCCATAACCTAAAAATTAAAAACTTCTAAATTCTTTCTGAGAAATTTGCAGAAATTCAGTATTTTATTGAAAACTTTTACATTCTTTTTTTAATTAATAATATGTTATATATAATTTTAAAGAATAAAGAAACTGTTTTTAAAATATGTTCTTTATTTTTTAATATGCAAATATTTTTATTTTAAATTGGCAATAATTTGATTTTTATAAAACAATGTGAAAAAATGATTTTTTGCTAATTCTTATTTATTTTTGTTGTTTTTTTTTAACTTGGTAACGCATTTTTGTAAACATAACCTATTTACACTTCTTAAATAACCAGCTGATTTTCATAACTAAACCGAGTTAAAACTGTTTAAATCCATTATTAGTATACATGGGTACATATATGGGTGATATTTTATAGGAATTGCTTTCAATTTTTTTTTTAAATTAAGTTATATGTTTTATTTCTTAAATTTTTTTAATTATTTTCTATTTTTTTATTGTATGAGCATTTTTTCGTATTCTTTATTATTTATATAAAAAAAATACTTTTGTATTGCTTTTAAATATTTATATATTTTAATTATTTTTATTTTAATTTTTATATATTTTAATTTTCGTTGTATTAAATATGCTACGAATTTAAAAAGCTGATCCGAAACAATTATAAACTCAATTTTGTAAAAAATATACCAGAAGAAAAAAAATACAAGTTTAAAGCTGACAAGCATTTATACATACATACATATTATATACTCGTACATGCTGCATTATTGTAAATATGCATATAAATATAAACATATAAAAAAGTTATAACAACAATAAAGTTCGAAAAAATATAAACATCCATAAGAACACTTGCAAAATGAAAGGCCTACAATAGGTACCAAGTAAATAGCTCCAAATTTAACAAAGCCTATGCACATACACATACTCGTACATACATATGTTAAGTATAGTAAAACTAAAAGGCAACCATAACTACCATATATATTTGTTTTCCATTAAATATTATATAAAAATATATTTAAAAAAGTTACATGTACAATGCTAAATCTAATAAAATTAGAGAAATATAGTAAAATTAGAGATTTGAAAATAATCTGTAAAAATACAACAACCAATTGCAACCAAAAATAGCTAAACACAACAAAAGCAACTGATAGAAACTATTATGAAATATTGAAATTGAACTTTTATCGAATACCTACATACACACATAAATATCTACAAACATGTGTACATATATGAATGTTATGTTATGCAAAATGTATTAAAAATACACAAATACTTACATTTGTAAGCTATAAATTTGTTGCAATAAATATTGAGGGCGACACAAAGCAAAGCTGAGAACTGAGTGAAAAAAAGTTGCTAAAAGATAATTTTTTTTATTTCGTAACTTATTATTATTTTATTTAACCTTAAAATTATGTCAAATTATATAGACATTATTTTTTTGTAATTCATTTGCATACTTTTAGGCTGTCACAATATACCATTTTAAATTACATTTACTCGGCCGTGTACTCGTGCACTACGTGTTGGTATTGATTTTAGCCGAACAGTAAACTATGAGACTGGCTCTGAAACAAATTTTGTTGTTGTTGTAAACTATTGTATACAATTTGCTAGAAAATATAAAATTAAAAATTACTACTGAATGACAGCAACACCCAAACAGGAATATGAAGTAATTATACTTAGAAACATGTAGAAATAGAAAACATAACCGGTCTGTGTAACCCAAATTTGAAATTGTACTTTAGTTATACATAGATGTGATCTTTAATGATATATATTGTATGCATATATCTTATATACATATGTTATATAAACATTTTCTTCAAAAACTTTAAGAATAGTCGCTGTGGAAAAAAATCCATATCGGTGTTAACAAATGTAACCTTTTAGGTTAGCAATGAAATTTTTCAAAAATTTCTAAAAAAACATATGATTTATTTTACAAGTGATTGTCATACGTTTTCCAAGATTTTTGAAAGTTTTGATTAATTTTTGGAGCTTTTAAAGCTTAACTGAGGCAAAAATTTCGGAAATACAATAAAAAAAAAATTGTTATGACCAGTAGTTCCATGTATGGCGCGGCAGCCGGCCAATATAATTTAATCTAATATGCTTTTGGGTGCTAATGAGCACAAAAACGCCTTGAAATAAATCAGTATATGTACGGTTCAGCACTACAAGTATTTTTTTTTTCGTTTTTACTTAATATAATTTTTTAGATTTTTATTTTTGTCTGTTATTGCCTAGTAAATAAAATGAAATAGAAATATTTCGCTGTAAATCATACTCGCAAAATTATCAAAATGCAAAAAGAAAAAGCAGTACATCGAATAAAAACACACATTTTTTAAGTTATCTTACAAAATCCCAAAAAATCTTGTTACATATACATACATAACATACATACAACAAAAATATAAAACATACATATGAGATACTAAGTAATAGTAAAAAAGCTAAGCTCTGTTATTAGAAAACGTAATTAAGCAAAGCATTACAAATGAAAGCTGAAATATTTAAGAAAATTTATTAGACCAAGTCAACGCGGAAGGCAAATAAAAACCAATTTCCAAAATTGCCAATAATATAACTTATGTAAATTAAAAATACGTGAAAAAACACTTAAGAACTTATGTAAAATATAAAAAAGGGGGAAAAAATTAAATAATAACAAACATTTAAACAATAAAAAATAATAGTAATATTATAGCATAAGCATAAAAATATAGTTGAAGTGATTTATTACAAAAGCCTAAAATAAAGCAACAACAAATAGAAATAAAGAAGCAACCAACCAATTATGCTACATTATATACCACAAACAAAAAAACACACACACATACATATATTATTTAATAGGAAATAAGTGTAAAGCTGCATATAACAGTTAAATAATTAAGTTATAAATATTAAATTATACTTCAAAATATGTCATTATTGTTTGCTGTTTGCGTGGTTGATTGCGTAGTGCGCCGTTTGATTGATTGTCTGCCTAATTTGAGCGCCAAGAGCAGCTGCATTCACTCTCATTTAAGTTGTAAGCGATTTATTGCATCTCTGCAACTGCATTTTCTGTATAATACACTGCTGCATATGTCTTACGCTAATACATACAAACATGCATGAGAATTAAGCAAAAAAGTATAACGGTTTGTAATTTAAAACGGCATTGACCTAAAAGCTTTATGAGTAAAATTCTTTGCGGTAGTGCAAAAGGTCAGCAAAGAACTTTGAAGCGTAAATAACGCACACATGCATACAAAGTGAAAATGAAAGTGAGAAGTAATCCAAAAGGAAGTGTTTATATGTTAATAGAAAAGGAAGTAACACATACAAAAACAAACATACAACCATATTACACATATATGAGAATTAGTTACATATATCAGTACCATAATAGATACATACTTACATAAATATATATAAATAGACATATATATAATATTGATAACAACTATTATTATTATTAAATAATATTATAATTATTATGGAGCAAAAAAGAAGATGTAATTAATTGATTATGATTATTAATTCTAATGAAATATTGTACTGAAAGTAAGCCGATGAGAGTAAGAGAGCAACAAAGTGAAATAAAAATGTAATTCTTATTAACGGAATATCAATTGTGTATTTTTAATGACAACCCTAAAGCGAACTCCGTGGCTGGCAGTTTCTTATCTTTATTATTATTCGAAGCAAAATCGAAAAAATATAGCTAACGCTCTTGACTTACAACGAAGACTGTTTAACCTCTGAGGGAATTTCGGACACACGAATTAATTATCACTAATGGGGATAACTATGAGCCACTGTCCCTTTAAGACGCCTATAAAACTTGTTTTTATCTACACAAATGCCAACAGTGACGAAATGGCCGCTAAATTGTATATTGCAGCGTATTTATATAGTTCTCTCAAGAAATTCTCAGAATGTTCTCAGAAAAGCGCTGATGTTTTCATAATTTCTAATACACGCCACATCGGCACCCGTAAACCGTTTGCATGACATCACAAAATACTTAAAGCTGTATAAATTTAAGGTCTCCCGGCCTAGTTCCACTTTAAACCATTTCGGCGCAATAAGCATTCTCATCGTAAGGCAGGATGTAGTTCGAGCGAGGATGTATTAAAGCGTATAACTGTTGACAGTGAAATGATAAATTGTGAGTAATGGGCAAGTATCAACTTCGACTAATTTAAATAATCTAAATACACGATTTAAGGATGCTTACCCGAGTTACATGATACCATGCCAAAAACCGAGCCAAAAACCTTCTTAAACTCATTAGTTATAAAATGAGAAGGGCTGAAAACTTCAAGTGACCACAGACTATGCTTCACTTGATATAAGGAATTGGTGAGATACTTAAAATAAGAAGTCTCGAATTTTTTACTCTTTATTGATTTTTATTTATGGAAAAATGTGTAATTCTGTTCACTCTAATATTTTTCCACCTACACATTACGTCGTCTTCAAACATCATGAGCTGGTGATATTCTTAAATAAAACATATGAATCCAGTGTAAAATAATAATGCCGTAAAAGCTTCCACAGGGGAGCACATAAAAACTAATACATAATATTTATTGCTACGTTCTAAGATGAGATGGAGTTATTGCATCTCTTAAAATTCGTCCGTTGTTAGACGGCTACGCAGACGACGGGAAATTTCATTGTAGTTGCGCTCCTTCCACTGCGCATTGATTTTGATCGTCTCCAAAGCCTGTTGGACACCCTGTTCGACCTTGCGCAAAAGTTGTTTGTTTTTCTCACAGAATGCACTCATATTTTCGTACTCATGCTGACTGCTCATTTGGCTGGCGATGGGCGATAGGAGACGACGCAATTCAGAGCCTTCCGGTTCAAAGCTGTAATGATGCGAGAAGTAGGAAAGAGGTTAAGTAGGAAAACCCAAAAACATAAGTATAATTAAGTGCTTACTATTCGTGCAGGAAATCGATATTGGTAATTAGATAATCGCGTGCTAAATGGAAACCAACTTCACCATGTGCCACAGCGCCGAAAGCGAAAGTTGAATCCTGTCTGCGTATATGTTTGTTGCTGTCGAATGCCCATTCCAGGTAGCGTTGCAAGATCCAAATTTCGCGTGAGCAACCCAAAGCTGAGATTATGGTACGCTTCTCAGCGGCTACGTTCGAGTTCTTATAGCGCGCCCAGAGGAATTGCCAATCATCTTCGTTGCCATGACGTATAGATGTGCAGTAAATGACTGAACGCAGATCCTTCGGTACAGGGTTGTATTCATCGGGATTGTCTCCGCCGCGCCACTGCTTGAAATATTGCTGTGCACTTGGTATACAATCTTCGACTTCGAAACGACAGGCCCAACTGGCAATGAGCTCTTTGTGGAGTATGGTATGCGGTGCCGTTTTAATTTCAACAGTCACGTTCAAACCGCCGAGGTACAGGTAAATAGGAGAGAGTATTTTGCGCATATATTTCTAAAATGTGAATAGAAGAGTTTTTAAGAGAGATTCAAAATAAAATAACTCATATAAATATCAATAATTGTGAAGTTGTTCCTGAAAGTCAGGCTAAGAGTAGTGGAGATTCCACTTTTTGATTTTCTTCAGAGGTGTAAGCTGTGTATTATGTGTTTCTTACTACTTACAGTGAAGAATTGCTGCGGACATGAATTTCCAATTTTCAGTTCGATTTAATTAATCAGGACAGCATTCCAAAATTTCAGTTAAAATAGTTTACACTTCGGAAAGATACAATTTTGTACCACTAATCACTTACCTTAAAATACTCGTACTCTGGAGTCTGGCGCAAAATTCTGTTCACGTCACGCAGATTATCTAAAGCTGCTTTCCACGGTATGTAGTCGCGTTCACGTACCAAATACTCAATCAGACGCATTGCGATGTCATAATCCTGATCACCAGTCCAAGCCAAGGTCAAAGCGTCATCGATGAGGTGTGCGCGATTGATCACATGGACTTTCCGGTAATCATCGCTGGTCAAAGTGTCAATCAACATATTCCAATTGCGTTCATCATACTTTACTTTATACAAACCGGACATTTGTACATTGAAAATGATCCATTCGTTCGACTCAGGCAGATCCTTAAGAGTCTGAGTTACTGGCTCATTCATTTCATTGCATTGCAGCCAGTTTTTAGGTGTAGTAGCACCAAAGTCAATTTCGGTTTGAGTGGTAAAACTCAAGGGCACCCACCAACAGCTACGCTCGGCTTCACGCGAAGCGGATGTATCGAGCAGGTAACGAACTTGTGTAACCTTGGCCAATTTGCGATCATAATCGCGTGTTATTGTAATAATTGGATAGCCGGTTTGCAAGGTCCATGAATCCATAATGGTCTTGATATCGAAAGCTTTTGGTAGCGTGCGGAATTTGTGAGCAGCTTCGGTAAGTGCGTACCATAGATCATCTTGTTCAGCATTGGCGTAAGCGTGTTTCTTGAGATAATAATGTAGACCGGAGCGGAATGCCTCATCGCCGAGGAAGTGATGCATCATGCGTAAAACGGTGGATCCCTTCTTGTACGAGATTGAGTCAAAGATCTCGGCAATTTTGTTGGTATGTGTGATCTCTTGAGAAATTGGGTGACTGCTCTTGAGCGCGTCAAGCTTAAAAATAGCCAAAGTATTATCGACCGACTCCTTTTCCAAACCACGCCATTCGGGATTGATGTGTTCAACACCCAAACTAGCTACATAAGTGGCGAAACCTTCATTCAACCACAGATCCTGCCACCATTTCATAGTGACCAAATTGCCAAACCATTGATGAGCCAGTTCATGCGCAATGACTGAAGCGACACGTTGTTTATTTTCCAAAGAAGACACATTTTCCGCATAAAGCAATGCAGTTTCGCGATAGGTGACCAGGCCCCAGTTCTCCATAGCGCCGGCACTAAAGTCGGGTATAGCGATCTCATCGATTTTATCCAGTGGAAATTTGATATTAAAGATATCTTCGTAGTATTGCAACACCTTCGGTCCCACATCGGCAGCATAGTTGCACTGATCGATGGCGTCAGGACGTGCCCACGTGCGAAATTGTACCTTATTCTTCAGGCTGGTTTCCGAATTGACATAGGCGAAGTCGTTGACAGTGTAGGCGACCAGGTATGTCGACATCGGCACAGACTCTTCGAATTCGCTCCAAACCCAATCTTTTTTATCCGCCCTGATGGTGATAAAATTAAATAATATAAAGATAATTTTTTAAACGCGAAGCAGCAAGACTTACATAGGACGTGTCTCTTTAAGAGGCATATTGCTCAATGCTGTGAACTTATTGTGATGTCCGAGTATAACTACGAATTTCGCTTTGTAATCGGGCTCATCAAAGCAGGGGAATGCGAGACGCGCCGACGCCGGTTCAAATTGTGTAACCGCAAGCCATCTGAAAGTATAAATATTTACATAGAAGTTCTATTGAGTAGGAAACCCTTGGCGGCTATGGTTACGTACTTTGTCTGATTGCTCACACGATCCACATACGAACTGCGATAGTAGCCACGCAAATTCAAATTCAATATACTCGAGAACGGTATGGTGAGTATGTACTCCTCCCCCCTGCGCAGCGGTTCGCACAAATGCATTATATAGTAGTCGTGGTAAGTGTTCACCTCGGTGGAGCGCACGCAATTCTTCTGTTCGCTTTCCTTGGCAATCAGATTACGTAGAATAATTTCATTACTATTTATGGTGAGATTGAGGGCATGCAGCGTGATGTTGCTTGTATCCTCCAATGCGATCAAATGCATAGCGACCTCACCGACAAATGTTAAGTTTTCGGGATTCTCTAGATGTGTGATCACGTGTAGCGTGTATTTTTGAGGTTTAACGGATCTTGGCAGACGGAAATAATTGTAACTGCTAGCAGCTTGTTGCACTGCTGGCCCCGCCGACTCAAACTCCACGGGGTCTGTATCGGGGAAGGCGAGCACGAGAGAGGCAATGGCCATGAAGCTCAAGGCCGCGCAGACATAACGTAGCTGCGATGTCATCTTGATTTGTCTCTGCGCCGGAATATTAATATGCATATATGTAAATATTTTTTTTTAACAAACAGCTTTCTTTAGGAAATATATATACATGTATTTTGAAAAGCAATGAATTGATTTTGATTTTTGACTTGACGGAACCCAGCAGTAATGTTTCGTAATCTTAAAAAATTTCATGCAGGTTCAATATCCGTTGTACGGATAACTAACGCTTTATAGAAACGGGTTTAATTTATAGTGGTATCCTCGCAATATTTTAAGTCTTTCAAGTAGGTATATAATTGATATGAGAATACTTCTTATAAACTCACTCAGCATACGAAATAAATCGCATCGTTAACCTATCATATTTTTATTGGAATGCAATTGCCACTGTCTGCCGATTTTTTTGTTTGAAGACTAGACTTTTGGTGTATCAAACAATTCTAAGTAGTGTACCTTAATGAAGGCTTTCGTATATGGATTGCCCATTTTTCATTGTAAAATTCGAGATCTCAGTGTCACAATAATTAATGATTTAGCGTGATGTCCCTTTTTTAGAGATTAAAAATAAAAGGTTTGGCTTAAATAATCGTGTTATGAGAATTGTCATTAAATACTACAATTTGTACTCTCTTGAATAAGTAAAGTGCTCGTAAAGAGGTTTTAATAAAATAGACAAGATAAACGTATTCGATTGCATAGATATAGGTAATATGAAAGAATATGTTCCATGCTTTCCAAAGTCATCTAAATAGAAAAAGAAAGAGATAATTATATTTAGTTTATATTCGTAAATACGTATGTATGTGAAGCTCTCATGTTTATTCTTAGTTAAAAAGAAGCAAATTAGAATAGGTAATTTTCGTAATTTCGAGAAGTAAAAAAAAACACTGTATTTATTTAAGTTTTTAAAATTTATTTGTTGAATTTTAAATATATATCGCATATACCTACACATGTTAATTTAATTATTACTTTCTGTCTTTGTTGTCAAATAAATTTTAAAGCTCATGAATTTTCATGCCTTAATTAATGGCAGGCCTTAGAAGTAGTCGAAATAAGCAATAGAGATTTTTTTATTACTAGTTTTAAATTTGATGAAAGGAGGAATCGAATATTTTAGTAACTTATCTTAAAAAAAAGTTGGAAATGAATGGATATTAACACTGTTCCAAAGTAATATTAATAATGTTTACTCACAAAAAATTATTATTCGTATAGTAATTATCTTATTACTTTTATATTTTCTTATCATTCATTTTAATTAGCCGAAATTATATAATTATATCTACATACTTGTAATCAGTGGGCGAAACACACATACATACTCGTATGTATTTTCGTATTAAAAGCACTTTGAAACAAATACATTTTTCTATAGAACTTTTCGTAGAAAACTAGTCAAATTGGCATTATATAAAATAATTCACGAAGCATTCACGAGCAAAGCTACTAATTATAACTAATAGCGGTAATAAATTTCTATTTCGAGTTGGTCTATACTTCGTCTGTCTGTATAGACTGCTATTTAGGGGGTATAGTTGCTGATAAAAAAGCTACGGGATTAACGTTGTACGTTTTACTGAGTGTGTGTTAAGGCGAAGACGAGGTGAAAAATTGGTAATGATTTCTGCTTTGACACTAAAAGAGATTTCAAGCAAGAAGACCCTGATGCTGCTCTGATTTTAATATGATATTGGAAAATATTAGTGGAATTAATCAGATATAATTTTCTATAAATGAATTAAAGAATTGAATCTATATGTTTGGTCAGACTTAACTTTTAGAACACATATAAAAATTCGAAAAAAATGGTGTTGATATGAAACGACCAATTATAAGAGGCTTGCTAAATTTTGAAGAGATCGTGTGAGAATCGAAGTTGTTGAAGGCAGTGGATATCCAAATGAGATGTTGGGTATGTTTAAGCTCCGGGCAAAGTGGGCTGTGCTGAGATATCAGTGAAAGAATATTTAACGCAATGACGAGGTAATCCCCGAGAATAACGGCTATTTAGAAGGTTTAGAACAGTTGGAAGATCGGAATAATCGTGGTAATGTCCACGATAGCAAGTATGGTCTATACAAATTTTTTAATAGGGGTAGCATTGTCAAACCCAGCTTATAGTTTATCAGTCTAAATTATGTCAAATGATAAAGCTTGCGTTTAAGAATTTTTAACGTTATATTAAATTTCAAGATATCTAAATTGATTAATCGTCTGGCTGACGTAAGAGACTGTCAATTTGTTCTAATAATATGTACCATATGTATTCCGCAGAACATTGTAAAGCCTTACTGATCTAAATAAAAAACGCGAAACATGTAAGACTCCTTTTCCTATCATAATATGACATATTCCTCAAATAGAAGTGAAAGCTCAACCAAACATTTCTAGAATATGTGTAAATAATGTCAGCATTAAGATCTATGATGCTTCCGAATTTGGTTTTTTATCTATCTGCTGGGCGTTTTTTTTAATTCAACTGAGAGGTTATATTCTTTTACAAGAAACTGACATGTTTTTGTGCATGATATCAATGTAGATTACGACAGGTGGTATTATACATACATACATATATATTTCTGTAAGCATACATATTAAACATGTACATATTTATGTACATACATTAAGATAGAGCCATAAACTATGGGAGTGTTATACTTAAGTTCAAATCTAACCCGGACTGGTCCATATCGATAAATATTTTTTCCTAGATTGGTACCACTTTTTTTACATGTGAGTCTCCATATGTCAATTTGTGTGGGTTAAGCAGGTGTTCGTTTCCAACGCAAAAGGTTTGTCTGCCCGACCGGGTCAAATTTAAAATATAACGAAATCTTCATAAATCTACAAAAAGCCGATGACGTCTCTCATAAAACGTTTTGTGATACAAAAAAAAAAATACTTTACCCTAATGTACATGCCTGTTCCAATTTCTTTTATTAATATACAAATTAAAAGACATTTTAATTCACTCGATTTAACACACTTGCATGAGAAATATACAAAATAAATAAACAATAGTAAACGAGTTGAAAGTCAGCTAGTGTAGTGAGTTGCCAGTGAGTTCAACTTGAGAATTCCATTAAAATGAAAGTCACGCATCGAGGTCTGGGCCAATGAAAACGTTAACGCTCTTTGCTGCTGCGCCACCTGTTTAACAAACTTTAAACGTTTTCGACAAAATGAATTTTTTATTTACAAAATAATAAAAAAATACACTATATATTAAAATAACATTTCCAATAGCAGTCTCCAGCCTATGTATTTAACTGTATACGTTTTGTATACTCACACATATTTTTTTTAGGTTAAATAGAACTGTTCTTAGTTTATGGAGATTAGATTTACTGGATTTTTTAATTCCTTTTTTATTTTCGTTTCTTTGCTGATAGTTTTTGATTTTTAAATAAATATTTCCTGTTTTTGCCTGCGTTGCGTCGCCCATACGAATCTTTTTTTTTTGTGTTTTTTTGTTTTTTTTATTCCAAAGCTAAACAAGAAATTGTTTAAATCAATACACATAAACAAAACACGGCGAGCAAATGAAAATGCAGTAAACGGGTATATGAAAAAAATCCAAAGCATCAAACTATAAAGCAAAGCGTAGAACAAAATTGTAGTGAAAAAAAGTTGCCTACACCATAATTCAATCGGTAGCTTTCTATTTTGGGCGCATCTGTTCTCTTCCGTTAAACTGTTTAGTTTCATTTAGCGACTTGGTGCAAAATTTACGCTGTTTATACATATGTATGTATGTTAGTTTTTTTTTTGGTGATCATAATATACAGGTCTAAAAGTAAGTTGCTGATTAAACACAAAATCACATACAATAATTCAATTGTTCTATTTGAAACACACATTTCAATGTAAACATATTTAAATATACATATGCCACCAGCCAGTTTGCCGTTTTGTTGTTCTTGACACGTGCTTGCTATAATTTCCAATCAGGGATTCACAAATGTATGTATGAAATGTAGGTGTAAACAAAGTTGACCACTTTCCGAGAACTAATCTCAATAATTACTTCTCTCGTTATATGTATGTTAAAATGGCTTAAGTCGATTTAAGCTGAAGTAAACATCTTGCTTGCTAATGAAAACTGCATCGAGTCGCGAATATGTGTATGGTATGTGGCCAGAATCACTCGAATTGCGACTTTATCTATATCTTCGTCAAATCGGCTCAAAACTAGCTATTCATTATTTATAAAGCTGTAGGAAACTTGTGATTAAAAAAACCTATAATTTTTATGAGATTTTCCAGTTTCATGTTCGACCATTGGGCGTAAGTTCAAAAAGGCAGTCGTTGGTAAAAAATAAGTCAAATAACTTTTGATGCCTAAGTGTAAGATAAGGTGCACACCAAACTCAGCAAAGAATCCTGGTAAAGAATCTTGTAACAGCGTCAATGCATCTACAAAAAGTCAACGTTTGGATTTTTGTTTTTGCCTTTCAATATTATTAATTTATATTTTTACGTATAAGTCAATAGTGAGAACCTCCCGTCATCATTAAGGGGCGAGTGTTATTAACAATGATATAGAAAATGTTATAAAAGCACGTTAAGAGAAAAGAAGCTTAATTTATTTATGAAACAAATAAAATAAATTTGAAGCTACTGATATTTATATGATATTTATGAGAAGCGTTCCGAGCTTTGAGTGATGACAGTTCAAAGGATAAACGGATTTTATACAAAATCATAGTTTAAAATTATTAAACATAGTGATTAAATACTAGCCGACTGTGTTTTCACATTTGAAGGTCGTTCATAAACTCTTACATGCCGTTGGCGAACATACAGTAGCGAATCCAATACTTAGGAACGATATAATTAGGTATTAATATATATTGCTTACAAGAAGAGAATATGAATAATAAGAAGAAGAGAATATTAGTAATACAAAATATTATATATACTAGATACACTGAAAAAAAATATATTGCTTGAAGAAACATTAAGAGAAAATTTTCGAAAAAAATAGAGCCGAACTGACGCAAAAACCAGCCAGTTCCAGCCTATTTGTTGCGGTTGATACTAACTGATGAGTATAGTAGTAAATACCTTGCAATAGTTGCATTTGTTGTTTTTATACTAGCATTTTTTTTTTATTTAGACGCTCAGCGCCGTTTGACCGCAATTGATTGGAGACAATCAAAATCGAATTTAAAATTTGCGCTCACACAACCTAATTAAACAGGCGAAGGCACGATGGTGGAAAGAGTATGGTGTGGCGAAAGCGAGGACATGCATCAACACGCATACACATATTACTATTTACCGGCATCGGTTTTCTTAGGTAACGGTAACTGCAAGCGACTTCTTGCTCATAATTGAGTTCAAAATTTTCATACTTAAATAGCTACAAATATAGTTGCATTTGTTGTCGTACTGCAACAATGTCGTTGCAGCCAATTTGCATATGAGCAGCATAGCGAATTAAAAATAAATATGACAATTTATTATCGATTTGTGAAAATTACAAGAGAGTGATGGGGGTAAATTCATTGCGGGGATATGTTATTAGTGGCGTGAAAGTTGGCTAATAATTTTGATGAAATAGATTAAAAATTACATATATGCATATATAAAATTTATAGATAACTTGTAATAATAATATTCATTGCGAGTTCACTCTTTACGGTTATCTCCATTCGAACTTTAAGTCTACTTTAAAAATAAATATTCTATTTTAAGCATAATCAACGACAACCAAACAGTTTCTGACGCAAATTTTATTATTGTGTGGACTTAATTTAGTCAGACAATACTAATTGGTTCAGCTATTATTGAAACTGAATCACATGATTTTTTAAATTCGATAACTTAAAACTAACCTCTAAAATACCGTGGAAGTAGAGGTGTGCCAAGGAAATATATTACTCAAACTAAATAAATACATAGTATAATGACTATACTGTTATGAAGAATGGTTGAGGCAGCTCAAATATTTTCAACTTTTTACTTCAGATCAAAAGAACCACCTCCGCACACAAAACTCAATATAATATACAAGAAGCTGTTTTTCTTTTTCCTAATAGCTTTTGCCCATTCATAGTTAAATATGTCTACGTGTGTCACTAAAAAAAAAAAAAATTCAGAAAAACAGAGAGGGCTTGAAACTCACCACTTATCAAATAATATTGAGGCGCACACCTCTGGATATGAAAGCTCGTTCAAATTTCTGGCTAATTATATGTTAATAAATAGTATATTTTAAAAGATCATAATATTTTTGGAGCTAATTTTATTTTAACGCAAAAATTAGCTAAACTTTGGAAAGTAAAGCATTTTTAGTGCAATAATTTAATAAGTTTTCTGTCGATAGATATTGATGAAACACGCGTCTTGACTAAGGCAACTGGCGTATGATGAGTAACCGGTTGCCATGTATAATGTAAATTTACGGCAACTATACTGACAAGAGTCGCCATATATATTTGGTATATAAATTATTAATAATAATGAACTGGGAAAACAATATGTACTTTTTAATAAGCCAATAAGTTTTAATATTTAGCTTAATATATATATATATTATATATATATTATTTTTCCTTTTCATTAATGCGGAACGTAAACAAATTAATTTTCGACTCTTTATTATTTTAATTGAATTAAAATCAGTCTGATTGTGTTTTCCGGGACTGGTGTGCTAATTTTTATAAGCACTTGTAAATGTATATTTTGTTTTGATTCGATTTTAGACTTCCTGTTTTCGTTATACTGAAGTTCAAAATTAGGTTTTTTTTCTTGAGTTTTCAATTTATTGCGTTCAATGCACTTTTTGGAGCGTACAATCAATTAATGAAATTTATGGCGATTACATTTTAATTGTTATTCAATGTCTACAACTGTAACACAAAAATTAGAGAAAAAAATCACGAATTTTCCGGTTTTCATTTGCTTACACTTACTCAATCAAAAACACAGCAAAACGTTGACCAATAAGTATTTTTTTATTATTATTATTAATGTGCACAGTTTATTAAACAGTTGTGTGTATTTGCGATAAGTCGCGTGCGCGCACTGCCTCTATCGCTGCGTTTATTTGAGCCCTGCTACTAATTACTAGCGCTACACATTAACTAACCCACAACCAGTACCGCGCACAGGTACTGTCTATCTGAAGCATTCTCAACAGCGCGCCGGCCACTTATAAGCAAACGGCCAGCGATGGCGCACCATGTATGCACGAGCGCTTGGCGCTGTCGTTGACTCGGCTGTTGGCGACTGGGCGGACAGCGCCGTTGTTGCCGGTTTCTGACGTTACATTAGGCGTCAATACACTCTTTCACTGGCAAGAAATCTAGCTATTCACGCACAAACATATACATACATATAGACAGTCATACAGATAGCCAGACGCACAAAAAATACAATTGAAATTAAATGCAAAAAAATGAATAAAAATACAGCTTATTACACGCTGCGTCTCGTGGAAATGTGCCGCTGTGCGGTTGCGCGCGTGAGCAGATTACCACTTAGCCGTGTGTAAGCGCACACACGAACAACATACACACCATAAAGAATAGTGCTGTAGCAACATTTTGTAAGCGTTCCTTTTGATGATAGCAACAGTTGTCATAGCTTTGGCATAAAATAGCTATTTTGTTGTTATTTCCACTCGTTTGTCGTTGTCAGCGACCAGCTGTTAAGGCTCCAACGTCGCCTTGCTGCCAGTGGTCGTCTATACGAGTAAGTACTTACTAACCGGTAGTGCATGCCAGCGGCTGATAATTTTTGCGTAGACAATAAATTGCGCTTAGCTGGTGTTCGACGCACAGAAAGGAGTTACAGAATTTCACGCAATTCTAGTTCGTTATACCATCCACGACATAATGCTTTACACTCGATATGTGCACCGAAGCGACCAGAGGGGCTTTGTCGTATTAATAGATGGTCATAAATTCACGGATCAAAAGCACTCTTCATTTCAATGAACCATAACAAATGGATTGGCTAGATTATAAATTCTATGTATGTCTGTATGTATTCCTTTACGGATTAAAATTTTGTGGCATGTAAATTCAGGGAAAGGATTACACATAGAGACAAATCGACTCTCATTACCAATGGTCAGTTATAGATTTCAAAAGCACAAGAGCTGGCTGGGCAATTCTACGAGGGCGCTTCGAAGTATCTTGTCAGCTACCAATTTATTCCCTGAACAGCGTATAGTAAGTTTGCCACAAAGTTTATAACACTCAGAAGGAAATGTCAGAGACTCTACAAAGTATATATACAATTGATCGGCGTGACGAGCTGAGTCGATTTAGCCATGTACGTCTGTCCGGCTGTATATATACAAACTAGTCCCTCAGTTTTTGAGATATTGCCCAGAAATTTTGCATGCGTCTTTTTTTCACCAAGACGCTGCTCATTTGTCGGAACCGCCGATCAGACGGACTGAACGATCGGAGTCAAACGCTCGCATGAAATATCTCGACACATGACGAGATGTCTTCAAGAAATTCGGCATAGTTTATTGTCTAAGGCAATACATAATGCATTTTATGAAGAAATTCTTCACCACTGTCATACAAATTGATCGATCAAAATCAAGATAAAGTTATTTTTATACTCCTTTATTCTATAAAAAATGCACTTGTACTGGGTATTATAGTTTCGATGTAGCCGAAGTTAACAAGAGTTTATAACTATTAAGAACCATGAAGCTTTTCAACCTTACGCGTTAATTGTTGTCAAAAATTCATACTAGAAAGAAACTTTTCAGATTGAGAGGAGAAACGAGTCTGAGAGAGCTATTTATAATACATATTGGGTATGAAGTAAGCTAATTAAACACCAAATCACTTTGTTTGGCCTGTGCTAGAAAATTTCAGATAAATATATATAGCATATAAAAAATATAACGGTTATTATATGTTCAACTGGGTACATTAAGTTTGCTACGATGTTTGTAATACCCTAAAGGAAACGTCAGGGACCCTATAAAGTATAGACATATATAAATAATCAGCGTGGCGAGCAGAGTTGATTTTGCCATGTGCATCAACCGTTCGTCTGACTATATATATGCGAACTAGTCTTTCAGTTTTTGCACACGCCCTTTTCACACCAAGAAGCTGCTCATTTGTGGGAACGGCCAATATCGGACCAATACAGCATATACTCGTAGCTGCCATACAAACAGAACAATCGGAATAAAGTGCTTGTATGGAAAACTTTTTCATATGACGAGATATCTTCAAAAAATTTGGCATGAGTTATTGTCTAAGGCAATGATGTAATCTCAGATCGGACTACTATAGCATGTAGCTGCCATACAAACTGACCGACCAAAGTTCTTGAAATAATTCTTTTGTATTTGTTGAGGGTATTAAAGCTTTGATGCAACCAAAGTTAACAATTTTTCTGTTTTTTGTTATTAAAAAACTTTCTATTTCAAACCGTGTCTGCGATATTTCAAAGTTAGAAATGTAATCTTTCTAAATACGTTTTTTTTACTTCACAACCTCTATATAAGTTAATCGCGTCTTAAATTGAAACGTAATGCTTCGATGAGGACTTTCTACCAATAAACACGCTTACATACATACCTATGTACATATTATATGTATTGTATGTACACGACACTATTCCTAATCGCATTAATTTATCATACTCTTCCACCAAATGTTGGTTTCGATAGTTTTTTTAATTTTTATTGTATGTGTGTAGTTATGTAGTCTTGCGGCATTGTTGTCTTGCGGCTAATTTGCATTTCTCCAAATGAAGGAGTGTTGTTTTCTTATCGGCACTTGATTGCTGCGACTACTGCGCCAAAGATGGATGGCTGAGATTTTGGTATAACATATATGGTATTGTATACGTAGGGATTTATGAAAGTACATAAAGCAAAGAAGATTGGTGAATAGGTGGTCGATCTTGGATTCGGTTCTTTAGCCGTCGAGATGGGCAATTCAAATCCTTTGAGAGATTCTCATATCTTGAATAAATCTAAATAAAAACAAGAAAACCCGTTACATTCGGTTGCATCCTTCACAAATAAAAAATTTTCTTTACAAGAACTTGACCTTGATCTTTAGTTTGTATTACAGCTATATGTTATTGTGGTCCGATATCCAGCTTCTTGGGGAGAAAGCACTTGTGCAAAATTTCGGATCGCTATCTCAAAAACTGAGAGACTGGTTTCCGTCTATAGTGATAATGGACAGACATACGGACATGGACTAAATTGATAGAAACTGTTCATGCTGATCATTTATATAAGTATACAACATACTTTATAAGGTCGCCCTTTTGTGGCAAACTTAATATACCGTATTGAGGATATAACGAAGTTGGTAAAGATGATCCGCGTTTAAATTTAGTTTAACTTGATGAACGATGAAAGCTTCGTGAAATTGTTGAAAAATCGTTGAGTGGGGGAAAATGTGAGAGGATTTTTTTAATTGTTCATCTTCTTCATCTGTTAAAAAGATAGCTATTAAAAAGTGGAGGTTTTACGTGTAAACTATAATATTTATCTAAGGTAAAGGGTTCTATAATAGAACCGGCTAGATGTTAGTGGGCTTTCTCGAAAGCCATATTGGGAAGACGATTATCTTCTGTTATAAACATAATATACTAAAAACTTAAACTATACGCCTTTAAGGAAACATCGAAAGCGTTTTTAAAAAGGTCGAAGCTTTAAATTTTATTAATAAACAAAAAGTGTACATGCTTTTAAGGACCTTTGTTTACATTTTATGGGGTCAATAACGCCCCTTTTGTTACCTTTTATGCGGTCAATGACACTTTTCTTTACTTTTAATGGATCAATGACCCTTTTTTAATTTTTAGCCAAGTCAACAACCCTTGACCTTTGTTTACATTTGATGGGGTTAGTGACACTGTTGTTTACATTTTGAGGGGAAATTACTCTTTGTTTAAACTCTATGGGGTCAGACCGCATATAATATTTTAAAAAGAAAAATATTGAAAATATAAGGTTTCACGTCTAAACTGCATTATTATAAAAGGTAAAGGGTTGTATAATATATTCTTATAGACGTGAGTAGGTTTTCTTGAAAGTGACATTGGTGGGCCGTTTATTTTGTTATAAACGATATAGATTTTGGTTGTTGGAATTGATATTGGATAATATTAAGAGAGACCAGAAGTTGTTATCACAGAACGGCGCTTTTCTCCACTAAATGGATGCCATGGAGCGCATATATCATGAACGCTTTGATATCTTCTCCGTAAGGATTAACACTCTAATAGAAAGCGTTTTTCACAAACGGTTACTAGGTCGAAGCTGGCAATACACTTAGCCGGATTTCATCGATTTGATTTTACAACGTATTCTGTTACAAAATATGATAAGAGAAAACGTTAGAGATAATTTAGTTGGATAAGAAGTCCCCGTGAAAGGTAGTTGGAAAACAGATCTCATTTTTTAACTCTCTATATTTTTTGAACTACGAAATTCTCTATATATTTGAAGGTTTCCTCTTATAATGAAGTTATGTTAGTTGAACTTAAAAAATCCGTATCTATCGGTGAACAAAAAATAAATACCAAATTCCTATTTGGTTTATAGTGAATAACCTCAAACAAGAAGAAGCACAATTTGTCAGCTGTGTTGTCAATACCAAGAAAATTGTTGATTGCCCGCGTAAAATGCTGTCCAAGCAAAACAATTTTAAACATCTGCTCGCTTTAACTTATTTGTTATTAATTTAGGTTTTTTCTTTAATTTTTATGAAATAACTTGAATTACTATAGCTGAAATTTTAGCAATATAGTAAAACACTAACCATGAGTGTTACGCCAACGAAACGTAGAGTTTCAAAAGTAGGACGAACGCGCTCAAGTTCCAGTTTAAGTAGTACCGAAGATGTGGTCATGGTAGAAGTGGACGACTCGGATGAAGAAACTGAGTCGTTTAAAGGGCGTCAACTAAGAAGATCAGCACGCAAACCGAGTCCACAAAAGAAATATGCTGTAGACTACATATTAACAGACATTCTCCAAAGCAAGAAGAGCAGCGCACGAAAGGATGAGACCGCTGACGACGAAGCTGCTGAACATGATGCCGAAAATTGTGCGTCAAATGCAGCGGGACGTCCTGATATTGCCGACATACAGCTACTAGAAGATAATGAGGATATAGCGGGCAAAAATATGTACGGTTTTCATACACCAAAAAAACGAAATGGCATGGCATTGGCGGCTTTAAATACACCAAAAACACCTAAAACGCCAAAGACACCGAAATCTGTTAAAACATCACGCTCCTCAACATCACAACGGCAAGCAAAAACACCCGACACCAAACGACGAAAATCCATCGTCGAACCTAAAACACCTTCACATGTGCGGCATCGAGTTAAAAATCGTAATACAAACTAAATAAAATAAATTGACGTATACTAATATTTTCCTAAACTCTTCATTAATTGCAGAAATTGCCAAACTTATGGACTCTGATTCAGACTTCTCGGCTAGTGGTAGCGATTTTGTACCAACTGACAGCGATAGTGACAGTTCCAGCAGTAGTGATGAGGACGATGCCGCCGACGATGAACCGAAAACTCCACATAAAGGGCGACGGCCCATAGTTGTACCAGTGTTACCAAAAACTCCTTCTGCGGCGCGTTCACGTCAATCAGCGCGCGCTAAGAAATCTTCCGTTGATTATGTACCTGAGAGTGATGGTTATTTCCAAGCACATGCCAGCACCAAAATACTCACTTCCAATCATACACTGGATCGTCTAAAAAATCCACGATTACCAGCAGATCGTTTATTTACCCTGTTGAATGAAATGAAACCACCTCCCGAACACGAAGAGGCAATCAGCGCCATGATGGAGGAATATCGTTCATATTTTCCGAAATGGTTGTGTATCTTGCATGAAGGCTACAGTTTGCTACTTTATGGGCTGGGTTCAAAACGCCAGCTACTACAAGCCTTTCATCGTGAAGTACTCCCCGATCAATCGGTGCTTGTTGTCAACGGTTTCTTTCCAAGTTTAACGTTGAAGGACATTTTGGACAGCATTATTGGTGAATTATTGGATGGTGGCGCTAATGTTAGTCCATCAAATCTTCACGAAGCGGTTGACTTGATTGAGGAAGAACTTTCATATACGCCGCAAGCACATATATATTTAATAGTGCATAATTTGGACGGCAGTATGCTGAGGAACAGAAAGGCGCAAGCGATATTGGCGCGTTTAGCTAGTCTACGGCAATTGCATCTGCTTGCGTCCATTGATTACATCAACACTCCACTATGTGAGTACATATGTTTAAATTTTGTATTTTAATTTAGATAATTTTTTAAGATTTTTATCAAATATATATTTTTTACATTTATTATTATATTAGTAAAAATTGAAAAAACTTTGTTTTAAACTTATTTTTTTTTACATTTATTTTTGAAATATATTTTTGTTTTTTTTATTTATTTTTATATTTATTTTTTTTATTTTATTATTTTTATTTAATTTATTTTTTATTTTATTTTATATTTTTTTAGATTTAATTATTTTGTTATCAATATTTTTTATTTGTATCTTCATTTCATTTATCAGTATGGGATCACACTAGGCTAAGTAATTTCAATTTTTCTTGGTGGGATTGCACCACTATGTTGCCGTACAGTGATGAAACTGCTTATGAAAATTCGCTATTGGTACAAAACTCCGGCGAATTGGCGCTCTCATCTATGCGTAGCGTTTTCTCGTCACTTACAACAAACACACGTGGCATTTATATGATCATTGTTAAGAATCAACTTAAAAACAAAGGCAATCCTAATTTTCAGGGTAAGTTCACGCTTTGATTTTAAATTCTACATTTTTATAATTATTAAATTTTTCAATATGCATTCAATCAGGCATGTCGTTCAAGGATTTGTATTGGAGTTGTCGTGAAGCTTTTCTTGTTAGTTCCGATTTGGCATTGCGTGCGCAACTCACTGAATTTCTGGATCACAAATTGGTGAAATCGAAACGCAACATAGATGGCTCGGAATTGTTGAGCATACCCATTGATGAAGCGCTGCTGCAACAATTTTTGGATGAGCAAGAGAAAAAGTCCTAAAAATGCGAATAACTTACTCAATTTAAATGCGTCAAAAATTATTTATAGTTGTTTTTTTAGCCACACCGCTTGAATATAATTTAATTTTTGCCCATGTCGCAAAATGTTAAATATGTGGGAAAGTTAAACAGTTGTTAAATAAAATAAGAAGTATCGTTGAATTTTTATAACAATTATTGGCAAAAAGTTTTTTTTTTTTATCATTTAACGTTATTTACAAAGAAAAAAATAATTGTTTTAAATTAAATTTGAATTACTTCAATTGTGAAATAAATTTTTAATTTAGCTCTAAAATCGTTCTCATATCCGATCCAATGATCGTTTTCCACACATCAAAAATAAATTACGAGATTAGCTATTGTCCTAAAAGAAGTATGTAGCAGTGTACTGCGCATATTTTGCAAGCTTCATACATTATTTTAGGCGACTATTGTCCATTTCATCGCATTGTTAGCACGGAAGTATTTTAACATGTATGTATATGTAAGTATTAAGGGTCTGGTTTAGAAGGAGAATCCTAAATGGCTCTTTTTCGGACCCGGTAAAAAAAAAACCATAAATATTTTTACTATAAATTTTTTATGTGTTTTTTTTATTGATATTTAAAGAGTACAAATCATTTATAATTAAAAAAAAATATATATTTCAAAGAATTCCAGGCCGGCAAATTTGGGGATTGAAGAAGAAATGTCGTGTCCTGGTGTGCAGGATATCAGGACTCCCAGTAACCTGAAATGGTAATTGTTGAATGATGCTTAAAGAGGAAGGATGTAGTAATAGCACGCACTATAAAAGAATTTTGAAAAAAAAATTCACAAAATGGCGGCTGTTTGAATAATATGTTTGGTTATCTTCGTTTTTTTGCCGTTCGGAATTTTTTAAAAATATAAAAAAATGTGTTCCAAAAATCCTCTGGTAGTACAATAGTATAATGTATAAAGAAGCTCTCTCGTTTCTAAAAAAGTAATTCAGAGAAAAACGAATTTAAAGTTTAAGGACAAGTCGTGCGTCACCGGAACCGTTCAGTGGCGTATTATACTCACTTGTATAGTATGAATTTATTTTAACAAAATAAGTTAAAACGATTAGCCGAGTCTCAGACCGTCACTTTTAAGAAATATTAAACGAGTACAAAAGACCTTGAGACAGAGCTTCTGGTAGTCAGAGTTTGCTCGTCGTCTATTGTTCGCTTGCTCGCCCCGAGCTGCCAGTCGATTTTGTCGGCGCATCACAAAATGTGCTGTAACTCCGAAAATAATTGAAATTTCAAAAAAAAATTGTTTAGTGACATATTCTTAAAGGGTTAAATTTCTAAACGGGAATACCCACTTAATCTTCGTATTATCCTTTTACCAGCAAGAAAACAAAGAGGCAACAATTTATGTTGCCGACGTCTCAGTGTGGAAATAAGATCGCGGGGGAAAATCAGTTTCGTCTTACTGCGTGTTATTTTTGTTTGGTAACATTTAAGCCGCCCAAACCCGCTCGCCGAGAGAAATATAGATGAAAATAAACAAACAATGCTCTTAAGATTTGTTTTTTTTTGTGTCTGTGTTCAATTTACTTTATATTTGTAATTATATTATAATTGTATTGTATTGTTGTTGTTGTTATAGTAATTTAATTAATTGCTTAACTATAATTAATTTTTAATTTACGCTTACTTTAATGTTTGTTTCACTATGTTTTGTTTTTACTCGCTTTGTTGACGCCTTCTTTTCTTGTTGTTGTTGCTGTTGCAGCGCAGCATCAGCACGCTGAATTACTTACATATACACATACATACGCTCAATATACATTTTTTTTGAAAATACCTCACAGTTTTACAATTCATTTCTTGCTGTGTTGTTGTTTCTGCAAATTTCGGTATAATTACGCAAAGCGAATTTGCACATTTCTACCTTGATGTCTCAGTGGTTGAGAATGCAGCAACTTTATTTTTGTTTTGCAAGGCTGTTTGTTTCTTTTATCAGCGTTTTCTTTATTTTTTGTTTATTTTTGTTCAATTACTTTTTGCTAATCTTTGTTTTTGTTTTCTTTAATTTTTGCGCTTTCTTTATGTTTGCTGCTCTTCCTGGCTTACATTATGCGTAACAATTAAAATAAAAAATGCATTGCAACAAAAATTAAATTACATTGCTTGAAAGTAAAAACAAAAATTGAAATTTTATGAGCTGGGAACCGGGCGCAGAATGTGCGCACAACTACAAATTACATATAATTACAAGTGCTTTGTGTTAATAACTTTTATTAAAAATTCTTCATGTTTTATTTTTTATTTATTAATTATTAATTATTAATTAAATTTATCATTAATAGTGTTATCAACTGTGTTTCATTAACATTTAAATGGTGGTCTCTTTGTCACTTAATTTTAACTTTGACATTTCTGCATTTTTTAACAACTAAAGCGATTTTGTGGCGAAAGTTAAATAGAAATTTATAGCAAACAAAAAAAAAAAAAGAAAAACAAGAAGAAGCAAAAGCAAAAATTAAACATAATTAAGACTATTAAGATTATTAATAAGGCAAAAAGTAGTTATAATGTTGCATAAATAAATTTAAACTGAAATATTAAGCAATTAAAATGAAATTTAATTTATTTGTGAAATTTTAGATTGTAAAAAGAGCGAAAAATATTGAATTGCAGCAAATTTATTGTATATATTCACTTAGGTATATTTAAAATTATTTATATATGTAATAGTAGCAGTAAATAATAATAATAATAATAAATTTGTAATAATATTAATAAAATTATTTTTTAATAATAAAAATAAAATTACTTAAAATTAATTAAATGTAGACAGAAAACAAAAATATAAATGTTGCATAGTGTACTATGCGTTTCATATTTTCCAGTTTACACTGCACATTTTTACAGTTAAAATTTAAATTTGTAATTTTTTAGCAATAATTTCTTTGTAGTAAATTTAAAGTTGTAATGTTTGTTTTCACTTTGCAAAGTTTATTTTTGAGTTTTTATGTTGATATTTTTCCTTTTTTTATTTTTTTTCAATATTTTACTTAATTTATATCATTTATTTATTATTTTTGTTTAAATTGTAGAGCTTTTAAAGATACCATTTTTAAATAACAACGACATGTGTGTGTTTGTTTCTTTTGTTTTTTGTTTGGTTTTAGCAAATTTCATTTACTTTAAAATTTTTTATTTTTATTTTTTCATTTCTATTTTTTTATTTAATCACGTTTTTGTGTCAATTTAATTATACTTTCTTTGCCGTTCTTACTTGTTTGCAACATTTTCTTTTTTGCTTTTGTCTGCACTAATTGCCAATATGCTTTTCTTTTCTATGTTTTAAAGTATTTTTGCGAAATTTCTATTGATTTGTAACTATCATGCAATTTTTTGTTTTGTTTTTTTCGCTACTACATGTCAAGTGGAAAAAACCGTTTTCGGCGCACACACATTTAATTCAACGCTAAAAAATGTTTTTTTTTTCAGTTTCGTATTTGTTGTATTTTTATTTCTAAAAATTCCATTTCCACTACAAGAACTTTTTATGCTTAAAAAATGTATTTGTTTCTGTTTTTAGTTTCATAAGTATTGTTGATTGGTTCTGGTGGTGCTTATTAAGATTTATATGTATGTATGAATATAGTAAGTAAAGGAAATTCATTACAAAAGTTTTGACAAAAATAATTTTTGATAAAAAACTTGAATTCAAAAAAGTAAAATTAAAAACTTGAAAATATTAAAAAAATAAAATTTTTTTTTTATGTAAAAATATTTTATAGCGAGTAAAAGAAATTGATTTTACTAAAGTTTCGACAAAAAAAACTTGAATTCAAAGAAATAAAATTGAAAATTTGCAAATATTAAAAAAAAAATTTTATTTTTACCATATGTAGAAATAAAAATTTTTGTATGTAAAAATATTTTAATAAACAAAAATAGACAGAAAAAAATATGTTTCAGTAATAAGTATTAAAAATTAACTTAACATGGAAAATATTAAATAAGAAAAGTATAAAAACAGAAATCGAAAATTTTATTCTTTTACATTTTTATTTTATTTAATATAGCAAATCGCAAAGCTTCAATACTGACGAACTTCTTTTATCAAAAACTTTTTTGTTGAGCGAAAATAAATTATTATTGTTACTTTAGAAATTTAAAAGTGTTTTACTATTGTTTCGAAATTTATATTTATTTAATAATATAATTACTGAGTGCAGCAAGCAAGTTTTCTGAATTTTTAACACAAAATTTTGGAGCTGTGCAGGCGAATGAACTTTAGTTAGGTTTAATAGTTTTTTTTTGCAAATCATTCAATTTCAAATTTTCAATTGTTTTAGAGCTCATCTTTATTTTGCAACGTTTTAATAGAATTTACAAAATGCTTACACAGTTATAAACTAAATGTTTTGCTTTTTGAAGTTTTTATTATTACATTTTTTGTTGTTGTTTTTTGTTCTATGAAAAAGATTGCCTACACATTTATATCACTTTGTTGTTGTTTTATTTTCTGCACTTTTTGCTTCGATTCAAATATTTGCTTGTTATGCACACAGTTTTAAATCTACTTTTCCTAAAAATTCGCGTTTGTCACTTTTCTTTCATTTCTCCTCGTTAATCCACACTTTCGTTTTTTATTTAATTTATTACATATACATACAAATACATCACAATTTGCAAAATAACATACAAAAAATACACAAATATTTAGTTGGAGTTGTGGAGTAGCACGAATTTGAATAGATATACATGTTGTTGTGGTGTTTATATTTTTGTTTTTGCAACTTTGCTATAGTGAGTGCAAAATAGTTGTGGTTTTTGGGGGAAAGAAATTTCAAAATTCAATAAAAATATTATATGTAAAAATTTTCAAAAAGAAAAAAAAAACATAAAAAAAATTATTACAAAGTAAAAAATTTTACAGTAAACCAAAAACAAAAAAAAAATTAAGCACAATAAAAATAAAAAACATAAAACTTTATCAAAAAATTCTACCAAGTAACAATTATGCTATTGATTTTGATTTTTTAATATTCATAAAATTGTGTGATGTAAAAAACCTTTTTTGATTTTGTAAATAATTAAGCGCATTTAGGAAACACAATTATGTTTATATTCATTTTATGCCATTAAAACAAGTGCAGCGAAACAATAAAATATTTATTCCAGCACAAAAATATGAACGCACTAAGAACTTCTGATTACTGCCACATTAGAAAAATAATAGAGAAAAAGTGTTTTACATAAATTTAAGCTTGTTTCCAAAAGAATTTATGCAATATGTTAGAAACTATACAACTTTCTATGCATGTATATATGATTTAATTCAGCAAAAATCTAAAAACATAACTCAGCGTTTGGCATCACTTCTAACTCGCTGCATTTGTAAGCATTTCATATACTCCTACATACTTTGTTTTCTTACTATTCTTACATTTTCATATTTAATCACAAAATTTGTGCAGCCCTCTGCCCAACCAACACTTTCTATATATGTAGTTATAAAACATTTTACGCTCTTTTTGCTCCTTCGAAGACACACATACACATATGTACATACACGAATTTACGCCAATTAACAACATTTAAATCGAATTTCGCAAAAATGAGTATGTCGTAGCAAACGAAAAGAAAAACAAAAAAAAAACAAAAAATTAAAAAAAAGAAGTACATACACAAATGTGTGTCAGAATTTTGAAAAAAAAATACGCTTTTTGGTTTTTACTTGGCTTTTGTTTGCGCATTTCATGCTTTTGCCGTGCGTACATATATTTTTATTTTATTTATCATTTACTTTCGCATTTTATGTTAAATATAATATAAATTAATTTTTTTCTACGTTTTACTTATATGCACATCAAAAGCATTTTTTCGTGTTTTTGGTTTTTCGTAAACACTGCTATTTCCATAAAGCATAATTAAAATTAAAATAAGAATAGAGGGGGGAAAAAGTTCAAAAAGCTTACATCGATTTTATAAAATTTATGTTTGTTTTTAACACATTCTCAACAATTCGTTCGTTTTTTGGACTTAAAATTTTTGTTTGTGATTTGTTGATAATTTTGTTCAAGTTTCTAAAGTAACATCAAGTCAAGGTCAAGAATAGTGCAAATTAGTTTTTCAAAGAGAAAAGTTAATGGGATTACGAGTACATTATCTTGGATTTATACTGCTATATGAATGTCGTTTGTGTTGTTGTTGTTGCTGCTGTCACGCTTTAAACAAAAGTAAGCGCACGCTTTGGATAAATTTCACAGAAATTCCAATTTTTTTAGAGTTATAGCTTCAATTGTTGTTGTTGTTGTTGCTGACTCAAACTGCATTACAAATGTTTATATAATTAAAATGCAAGCAAAAAATGTTATTTTCGTATTTTTTTTTTTTTTGAATTTAATTTGTTTTTTATTTTGAATTTGAGGTGTACTGCTTTAAGAAAACGTACGATTTCCAAAATTATTTTTAGCAGAATTAAAATGTTGAAAAACACTTAGCTTTGACAGAAAATAGTTCAAAAACATTGCGCATGCATACAACAACAAAACATATAAGCAGCACACAAAATTTAAATAAGTAGTTGTACAACAACTTTGCTGGCATGCTATTAATTTCATTTACTGCTATCCATATGTTTATACATAAATTATTTATGCATTTGCCTTGTTTACTCAACTTTTTCTTCGTATATAATTTCAATTGAAATATTTAATTGGATATTTCATAAAAATAAAAATAATTTTATTGTTGCTAATTTACTAAGCAAAGCGGGCGAGAACGCCTATACTCATTTATATGTTCATGGCTGTGTATGAAATTGGCGTGTATACGCACCGCGACAGCTGCACTAGCAGCTAAAATGAGGATGCTTGTTTGTATTGTTGTTGTTAGTAACGCTATAGCGACATTTAGCAATTGTTGCATGCGCCTGCTTGCCTGCATTGCGGCGCCTGCGTAAATCTGCGTCAACACTGCGCATATTTGTGGCCTGCGTCTCTCCGGCTTCAACAGCTGTTGCTTGCCTGCATTAGCAACGCTTTGCCACGACCGGAGCTGACGGCACACAATATTCTGCTTGCTATAACTGTCAATGCTTTTGTTACTGCTGCAGTTGTTGTATTTATGGCTGTTGCGATTTTTCCCACTTTGCATTATCGCAGCAAATATCATGTTGTTGCCGTTGTTGCAATTGTCTTGCACATTGTTGTAATTTTTGTGATTAGTTCTTATCTGTTTGTTGTTGTTTCCCAGTTTGCATACTACTAAAAAATTGCTATTAGACCCACGCCCACGTCGCGTCCTTGAAAAGCTGTATGTTACGTAATTGTTGTTGTTGTACGGCATTATAGAGCTCTGCATGGACATTACTGGTTGTTTGTTGCTGTGCAAGTGGCAATTGATGATTTGTAAACTGAGTTGACGTCCTTCGCTGTTGTTGTTGTTGTGCGTCCGCTGGTAACATTTCTGCTGTTCGCATGCATTCTGGTTGTTGTTGTTGTTGTTGTTGAATTTTGCGTTGCTGTTGCTGCTGCTACATTTGTTTTTACTATTGTTTTTGTTGTTGTATTTATTTTTATAATTAAATGTATGTGTATTGTTGTATTTGTTATGGTTATAAGTATTATTATTGTTGTTGCTGCTGTATTTGTTGTTGTTATTATAATTAAATTTATTATTGTATGCACCATTGCGATTTCAGCTCATTTTTACACGCTTCCTTGGTGGTCCAATTGGTGGGATTTGTTGTGTGGCAAGCGCACGAAATGCCTCCGCAATCAAGTGTGAATGTGTCGCGATCATACTCTGCCAGCCGGCTGTTTCCATCACATCGGTGGCGTGACTAAAGCGTTAAAAAGGAAACGAGTAGGCGAGAGGGCGAGAGAGAGAGAGGGGTTAATGTATCAATAAATGATTGTTTTTGTTTAAATCAAACGCATTCACGCATTTGTTTATAAACATTTCACACACGAAAAGTGTATTTATAAACAAATAAATTATACCGTGAAGTGACATTCGTATGTGTGTGTTTGTGGTAGATACTCACGTATTTATGAAATCTATGGTTTGTGCTTTCAACTGGTCCGCACTATGGAGATCGGCTAATATTAAAGTTTCCGCTGCGGTTTCCACGGAGAGATTAAGGCAAAGCGCCTCTTCGCACATCACTTTCAGCTTTTCGAGGGCGTACTGTAAACAAATGAAATGCAAACAAATATAAATTTTAGAAGAGTGACGTGATTAGTTGGGAAAATAAATGCCTAATTAAATGGAAAAATATACATTTTTCTAATATGGCGGAAGTCAAAAGACATTTCTGGGAAATGTAGACAGCAAGAAGGGTATATGATTATTGCGTCATAAATAAAAGAGACTTATGCCTTTTTGCCAAAATATTAAATACCGAAATTATTTAAGCATTCTCACCTTATCAGCAGCGGCTAGGAGATCATCGGCCATTTTTTCTAAATTTGGCGCTTTGCCAGTATAGATAAAACGCAGCATTTCTCGCAGAACTTCGTGATCGACGTCGTGTATATCGACACGATTTAATTTGCGTTCCTCCATTTCGTGCTCGAACATAGCATTAAAGACTTCACTACGTGCTGTAGAAAGAAAAAAAAAACAATATTAGAACACACACAGAACAGAAAATGTTTATAAAAATACAATATATAAAAGTATCAGAAAAAAAAAAATTAAAAATATAAAATTATTACTACGTGATAATAATGAATAAATGCGCTTACCTGCCAAAATAGCTTTATGCGCTTGAAATTCCCGTCCGGCCACCGCCAACGTAACATCACTGAATTTCTCATTATCAAATAATGCACCCAAATCCTCGGATAGTCGACATTCGGGTACTTTAAATTGTACAATATTTGATTGACCAGAGATATTCACACTATCAGCTACAACGCTAACTTCACAGAATATGGTTAATTTGTCCTCGGGCAGCAGACCGTTGGCCTCATCTAATAGAAAATCTCGTCTTATGAACTTTTTGAAGCCCCAATCTTTGCCTTGTACAAAACGGTAAGCTCTAAGTGGTTGGAGAAATGATGATTTGCGCATTAATTAAATTTGTGAAAATGGGAAAATGTGCTTTGTGTGTTTACCTCTGCGATTCCATGGCTTTGGTTTCTTCCCTTTTCGCATTCAATATGGAAAATTTAAATTTGGCTCTAACTTCTGATTTATTACACGAAACTAATAATAAATATAACGACAGGTAGTCTTTGCTTTCCTCATCGAGACCTTTTGGATTGACGCGTAAACACCTGGAAAGAAAAACAAGGTTAAATTTAATTATTTATTAATTAATTATTTATTAATTTATTATTTATTAATTAATTATTAATTAATTAATTATTTACAAAAATATTATGTTTATTTAGATTTATTTTGCGGTACTTAATATTATATAGATTTATTTTTTGTATTATTGTATTCCTTTTAATAATTTGGTGAAGGCCATTTTTTAGTTTTATTTCTTTATGTATTATTAATTTTATTTCTATTACTTTAATTTATAAATATGTATTTTTTATTGTTTTAAAAACTATTTTATATTTTTTTACACGTTTTTTCTTTCTATATACTATCTATTTTTTATTTTTATTGAATTGCAGCTAACTTTTAATTGTTTATATGTAATTATTAATCATTTTAGTTCATTTAACTTTTCCTTCATGATTTGCTCGATTCATTTAGTTTTCAATTTTTTTTTGATATTAATTTTTATAACATTTTTAATATATGTACATATATTTTTTTATTTTTATTTCATATGTTATACATATTATTAAATTTTTTAATATTTTTTTCTCAATTTCTTTTTCTCGATCATATATATTTTTTCATTTAAAATTAACTTTTATAATTATTATTTTTATTTCACATTTTATACATATTATTAAATTTTTAAAAATTTTTTTCTTAATTTCTTTTTCTCGATCATATATTTTTTTTCCATTTAAAATTAATTTTCTTAATTATTATTTTTATTGACATACCTAGAAATAATTTTGCATATTTTATATTAAATTTTATAATATTTTTCATATATTTACATATGTATATATTTTATTTATTTTATTAAATTTTTAAAGAATTTTTTTTGTATTTGAAATTTTTTTAATTTATTCTTTATCGTTTATTTCTTTAGATTCAACAAAATTTAAATTTTTTCGCAATATTTAATACCTTATATTTTGTTTCGTTTCCCGCTTTAATATTATTATTATTTTTTATTAATATTATTTAACTTATTTTTATTATGTTTTTATTAATATTTCCAAAGGTGTGCTTCATTTATTTAGCGCTTTACTCGCTGTTGTTTTTATATATTTTTTTTGTATAATTTTTTTTTTCATTCAAATTTTTTAAATTTCTTACATACTAATTAATTTTTTTAAATTAGTTAAACTCACCATTTTAGTTTATCACTAGCACCAGCAGAAAATGTGGACGATTTCAGTACCTCACCCATTTCCTCACGACAAAAACTAAAATTATTTATGGTCCACATATAACTGAATTTCACCACTTTCACCTAAAATAAAGTATAAGCAAATTTTTTGGATTTGATAAATTTTTTATTTAAAAGCATTAGCGGTTAAGTTATTTATATTTTTTACAAGATATATATATTACATGTTATATATAATTCATTTTAAATATTTACAAATGTAAAATATATATACATACATACAAAATATAAAGCAATTTCATGTGCGGTGAGAAAATGTTCACTACCAATGTTTTTTATTCTACCACCCTCGCGATGTTTAATATTATTTTAAATAAATATCCAACGATCGACTTTAACCAAAATGCTAAGGGAATTCTGAATAGAAGCAACCATATAAAATAAAAAAAATAAAGTTTATACATAAAATGTAAGCACATAAGTAATATATAATATATATACAAAAAAGTTGTAAGTATTATAGCGAAATCAAATTAGATTTCGTGAGAAAATATATCGAAAAATAAACACAACAAAATATTGTTCTGAGTTTGTAGAGGGGTCAAATAACATAGTTTATTGTAATTATTGTATAATCGAATGATGAAGGCAATGAAATTTGAGTCAATAAGACAAACAATAGTAAGCAATTGAATGAAACTAGAAACTAAATGCAAACACACATACAAATAAACATTCATTAAAGAATTTTTCGAAGGGAAATCGACAAGAAAATATATGAAGGACAGCTCCCTTTTTGATTTACAAGACGGGAATGAAAGATTGATGCATTGCATAGGAGTTGTTGTTAGAATAAATGCTAACCACGGCAGAGCGTTGATATGTACATACCATATATAATAGTCAAAAAAATCAAATTACAGGTAGTGCGTGTGAAACGCTTTAGGTTGACGTGATGCAGCGTTGCGCTGAGTGGTGACGATGCAGCAATTCTTGTCTTCTTTTTGATTAATTCACTTTTTTTGCTACCGCATTTGCGAGTTAGCAGAGTTAAGGTTGAGAGGAAGTGAATATTTCATCGCCACTTGAAATTCAATCATTCAAGCGACGAACGAGGAAGTGAAATATGCTATAAAGCCAAGGTGCCAGCGAAGAAGGTCAGGGTTTCAGACGTGCACAAGCGCAGCACATCAAGCATCAGCTAGCAAGAAATGCGAGCAAAGCGCACAAAAGCCTAGTGAAATTTGTAGAATTGTAAGAGTACAAAAAAAAAAAAACAAAAAAGAATAGAGGTAGTAGAGCGCTTGCATTTCACTGCAAGCAAACGATTTTTTCTGAATTACTGCAGTTTCTCAATTTCACATTTTCTACATTTCTATTCGACATTGTTGCTGCTTTTAGACTGCGCAATTGCCCAGTGCATTGTGCAATTGCTTTTTATACCTTGCAAGTGTATATACATATGTCTGTAGTTTTGTAGAAATGCACTATGTACACTAACAATATGCACACAAGCGGCTGCGAGGTGTTGTGGGATGGAAAAATAAATCGTTGTGCAATTGTAGCGGTGTGTTGACACGTTTAATGTTTGATTTAAGGGTTAAATATACTACATATTTGTATATATCTACATGTTTATACATATATATATAGCTATATATACATATATATGTATATATGGTATTAAACTAAACTAAATAAATATTTATTTATTTTTCTCAATCTTTTTATTAATTTTTTTTATTTCCTTTTATAAATTATTATTTTCATTCTCACCTGTGTGTAACACCAATTTTCGGCTACGGGTGTATTTACTTCCTGCAAAGGTGGCGATGGTACTCGACTGACCGCCATTGTACTACTCGATGCGCTCAGGTTAGATGTCACTCTAGCGGTTTGAATTGCCTGACATTCGTTTACCGGCAATCTGAAATCAAAAATAAAAATTCGAAATGGTAAATTCAAGTTGAAATATGTGTAAGTAATATGCGAAAAAGAGATATATGTCTGTGCTATAGCTATCTACGTCTAGCATTTGTAATAGCTGTTTCACGGTGTTGCATAACCTTAACAACTGTTCGAGAAGGTTTTCAAAATTTTGTCAGCATAAAATTTTTGAATTGTTTTTAGTTCTGCAAAAATGTGGAAAGAACTTGGTAAGTCAACATAAAGATTTAGCTAACATAACTTAAATACAAAAGAGAAATAATAGTTTCAGAAATAATGGTTTCAATTTCGTTTAAAGCTTCGTAAACATTGCAAAGCTGCCTAATTCAGTGATGTTTCAGATGATTTTAAATTGCACAAGCAATATAAGCCGTTAACAACATGAAAAGTGATTTAGAGAAATATTAAGAGAGTTAATTAAATTAAAAAAATTTAAGTATATAGAGATGATAATAAGATAATTTGGTAAAAACAACTTTCGCAAAAAAGCTTTACATATATAATATGTAATCAGTTGAGCTTTCAGGCTTTTCATTTACTTTAAAGCTTATTGCCGATCAGAATTTGCTCTAAGCGTTTCTTAATTTAGTTGTTTTCAAAGCATACTTGTTTTTTTCATTCAAAGCCAATTTAAATATTATATAATAAAGACGGCTGGTTTTATCCAATTTTTCTACAAACTCCGAAATTTCTTTTCATTGTTTCGGTTGCAGAAGACGCTTACCAACTCTATTGTTCTACGGATTTTTGTGACATTATTTTATTCTTTGTATTTTTAGGCATGTCAACAAGGTCACACAATCAACTTAAGATGTCTGCTATAAGTAAATGTCAGTTCAAAGCTTTTATTGTAATGACGTTCGCTTGTCAGCTATTGTTTTCAAGTTCAAAAAGTCGCTTTGTTATTATATAAAATTTTTGCAATTCCTTTGAATTTAAGATATTTTTGAATAGAGAAAGAGGGTTAAAAATAAACAACTTTCTATTACAGCTTTATTGGTTTGAAACATATAAGTTTTTCAGAAATAATATTTGTAGCTAAAGCAAACTTGAGAGCGATTTGGAATTTTTTGAATAAAAATTAGAACAAATAATAGTTAGACATTATGAGAATTCACAATACAGCTAAGTTTTCAGCACCAGAGAAAGCAATATAGACTTAATGTGAACTGTTTGCGCTGTCGTGTGTAGTGAGAAAAATATAGGTATGTATACATTTTTTCCCACAAACTCTTGTAATTATTTTAATAATTTGCATTGAAATTAGCAACAAAAACACGATTTTTTAAGTTGTTCGCACGAGAGTCGGCTCAACGTGACCGAGGCCCGGATTTAGTATATACGATACACTGTAACCACACAGTTGTTTTGAAATTTTGAGAAATATTATATTAAAGCTACTACATTGCCTTAGGGTTTCGAAAGCACATTGATGTTACGAAAGCGCTTAAGTATTGCAACCAGTACGTGACAAAAGCTCATTTAGACTCGGCATAACAAAAAACTTTGTTATTGTTGATGCTTTTTAAATGCATAAATGTTGATGTTTAATGAAACATTGCACACTTGCAATATCATTCGGTAGTTTGGCATTTGTGGCAGCAAACACGCGCATCCACACACATAAACGCACGCACACAGCACTCGTTTGGCCATCAAAAAAGTTCATAAAACACGCTACATATAAGTTCGAGAATAACGTATGCAACGAGCTAATAACCTTTAAATACGCACAGCAAAACAGCAAGAACACGACTCACTCACCTCGCCGGTTCATAAATTAAATCCATTATATTGCGATCGAATTCGATTGGTATTAATTTTGAATGAGAATGTGTCGTAGAGACGCGGATGGGCGAAGGTGTTAAGACGGCGGCGGCGGTGATGGTGCGCGTTGACGATGACGAAGGTGATGGCGCGCTTGATGGAGGTGGCGATGGCGATTCGTATGGAGCTACTAGCGCAGTTGTGCTCGATGAAGGTGATGATGACAAAGCGGAAGACGCGACAGCTGGCGCGGCCAATGCCAACGATAAGGCGGATGGCAATGATGAAGTTGAAGCTCTAGACGCTGCAACTGAGTTGTGGCTGTGGCTCAGCTGTGACGTTGAAGAGGAGGGCGCGGTGTCTAGCGCGGATAGTAAAGCTGTAGACGTAGCTGACGACTGTGATGACGACGGAAACGAATACGAAATTGATGTTGATGACGCTGAAGGCGACGGTATTGAAACTGCTATGCTTGTAGACGACGGCATTAGTGCCGACGTCGCTGTTGCGGCAGCAGACGCTTTTGACGAAATGTATTTTAATAATCGCACAATTGCCGAATGCTCCAGTTTGAGTTAATTTATTAAATTAACTGGCATTAATTGACTAGTTGTGAAGCGAAATTAAATGTAGTGTGGGGTGTTTAAATAATAAAAAATTGTAGAAAACTAGAATAGCAACAAAAATTAAGACGAGAATAAAAACGAGCGCAAATAAATTAAGTGTGTTTGAGGATGCGTGCTCTCGCTTGAACTTAGTGAAAGCTCAGAGATGTGCAAGTTGCTTGGCGGTATGCTTTTTGTAGTTATGTTATTTTTGATTTAAGCACAAACAGCTGAGCGCCGTTAATCGTTGTTTATGTTTGTATGCAAAGAGAGTAGTGCGAAGGCTCGACGTACGTTGGACGGAGTAACATGTAGCGAAAAAATTTTTTTTTTGCCACAATTTAATTTTTTTTTTTACATTGAATCGCCACCGTTATATTATATGTTTCGCTTTAAAACGCTAATTAATATAACTAATTAACACAAGTTATCAACTTAAATAGTTTTCTAAATATTTGTTCACTAAAAATAAATTGGTGACTGTCAACGCCGACTCACAATTAAAGACTATCGCTGGCAGGATCAAGGCAGGAGCCACTAAGAATATATGTACTGCCGCCTTCGAGGCACAAAGAACGATTCACACACCAACACACAGCACTGAGTAGATGATTTCTTAAGAGAGCATTGCAGATGCCGAAGATTTTTGTGGAAGGTATCGCAAAGAAGCGCAGAGGCGAACAGATGACACTAACAAACAGCACGAAATTGTCAACAATGGCAAGAGACCAAAAGACGAAACGAGCGCTAAATATGCGTTTCATCGGTTGCAACAACTACATATTGCAGGAAAACGTGAGAACAATAATAACAACGACAACAATAGGCAGAAAGCCAGTTAGTTCGCCGACACGCTCTCTCCGCACAGGCACAGACGCAAGGATCAAGCTACTAGCTGAAATACAGAATCCATTCGTAAGCAAGGCAATGAAAGTGAAGACTGAAAGGCAGTAATACACAACAACAATAGCAAAAACAACAAACCGAATTGTTAAATGAAAACAATTTCAAAATGGTATGAAATAAATATTTACGAAATACCTATGCAGCGAAAGAATCAGGCGTAAAGCAACATCAACAACACGCAGGCATTTCAGTGCAAAAGGAAGGAAGTACGATAGCGAAGGAGACACTGTGAATTCATATGTTTACGTGCTTGTATGTATGTCTGTGGATGTATGTATGTAGGTATGTATAAGCTGCGGTTTCGTCGCCCTTCAAGGTAGCAACACTTTAGCCTCCGCGCTGCTGATAACAGTCGGCCTTAATGATGCTGCTGCAGCTGAGCAGTGTTGGCGAGCACGGAAGCGGCTGCAGCTTCAAGTACGAATGTGCACACATACACACGCTTAATGTACACACTAAAATGCCCAAGGTGTTATGCTAAAAATGTATTTATGATGAGTTTGTGTGCGTGTATGCAATATGCAGCCTTGTAGGATTTTTTTTTTTCGAAAGTCGACCACTTAGTAAGAAATGGTTTCTGTGTAAAAATGGTTTCTATGAAAAATTTTTATTTTATGCGTTTGACTACTAATTGATTTCATCAGTGGTTTAGAATTTTTAAATTTATTAAATTAATTATAGTAAATTTGAAAAAAAATAAAATAGTACAACTTTTTAGAAAAATTTATATTTAAACTTTACAGTGTTCAATATTTTTCACGTTAGGGAAATTATTTAAACACTCATGTGCAGTTTAATTTCTTGTCACAATAAATGATAATTGTTTTTTTTTATTTAAACTTAGTTGAAATTTGAAATAATAATTGTAAAAATGATAATTCTTGTCAAAATCACCAACAGTTTATAATAAATAATATATTCCAATCTTAAATTTTAATTAGTTTAATCGATTTTAGGCATAAAGGAGTAAGTAAGAAATCTTAAACGTTTACGTGAATGTCACAAGGCAGAACTTTCTGCAGGGTAAGCAGCCATACAAACATACAAGTGTGCATAAGTGTATTTGCAATTGAAAAGGAAAGACACATATAGCAACAGTGTAAATGCAATAAATGTAAAGGTAAAACGAATAGCGAGAAATATCCTGAGTCACAGCGATGAAATCCTTCAAAGGTGTGCAGTGCCTGCAGGCTCTCGCATAAGGACAAATATATATTGTACAAACATCTTGTGTATGCAGGTAAACAAGGAGTGCAAATTTCATTGCTAGTTTATTGTGACAAGTCCATATTACGGTATATAATATGTGTATGTATTTGTACCCGGTGAAGTGTATCACAAAAATTGTGGCATATAATTTATTTGTTTTTCTCTGAATTTTTGTTTTTTTTTGTTTTTAAGTTTATACCATATATATTTTCCGACTATATTATTATTCATTACTTTCTGGCAACACTATAATTACTTAATGCTGTAATTATTTTACCGCAATTAACTTATGCTATTTGAACTGTTACTGCTAATACGAAAGGGTGTGAAAATTTAGCACTTTAGTAGTTATAGGTAAATTTCACAGCTTTTTTCGAATAATAATTGTTCAATTTAATTTTGTTAGCGTGTAGCTTCTTCAAGCTCATACATACATACATAGATATATATATGAATGTATGCAAGCAATTGTGTGGGTGTTGCAGTAGTTACC